ATCTCCGTTAGAATGTCTCACCTTGGTGATCAGCGTCGTCCATTCTTGAGTGTTCTCGCACAGATTGTGGAGCGCTCACAAAATATCGAGCTTTGCAGCAAGATTTTGGGCATGGCTGAATCATGGATCTTCCATTCCACCGAGTCATGGCCTACCCTGAAGGAGAAGACCGCTGTTTTGCACAAGATGCTTCTTTTTGAATCCCGACCTGATCAGACAATGTTGAAGAAATTCCTTGATCTTGTTATTCGAATTTACGAAGACTCGAAAATCACTCGAACTGAATTGACAGTCCGTCTGGAACACGCTTTCCTGATTGGTGCAAGAGCCCAAGATGTTGAAATGCGAAACCGCTTCATGCAAATCTTCGATCGGAGTTTGACTCGCCTTGCAAGCTCGCGTCTCAGTTATGTTCTCACATGCCAAAACTGGGATACCCTTGCTGACTCCTTCTGGTTGGCCCAAGCATCGCATTTAGTGCTTGGATGTGTGGACATGACAACCACTGCCCGATTGCACCCTGAGGACTTCACCCTGTTTCCCGTGTCATTCCTTTTCGGCAGCGGCGATAGAGATGCCAGGAAAGCCGATGTCATGGTTGACAACCAGCTGGAGACTTTCGTTGCAGAGCGGAGGCGATTCTTGTCAGATGTCGGCGATGTCAGAGTTCGCGATCTGATCGAGCCTTTATGTCAGCTTCAACACACCGATTCGAATGTTGCCTACCAGCTGTGGACTACCATATTCCCTCTCTTCTGGTCCACAATCTCCAATAAAGACTGCAGTGACCTAGAGAAAGACATGGTCACGCTGCTCACTCGTGAGTACCACCACAGACAGTTGGACAAGCGGCCCAACGTCGTGCAAGCCATCCTGGAGGGTACTGTGCGTGCTAGTCCCCGGTTCAAAATTCCTCCTCACGTTATGAAATACCTCAGCCGAACTTACGATGCATGGTACACCGCTGCGACATACCTTGAACAATCAGCCATTAATCCCATCATTGACACTCCTACTGTCCGCGAAAGCAACCTTGATGCCCTCGTTGAGGTTTACGCAGGCCTCCAAGAGGATGACTTCTTCTACGGAACCTGGCGCCGCCGTTGCAAGTTTGTTGAAACTAATGCCGCCCTTTCGTACGAGCAACAAGGAATGTGGGATAAGTCTCAACAACTGTACGAGAACGCCCAAATCAAGGCCCGCTCCGGTGCCATGCCATTCTCGCAGGGAGAATACTTCATTTGGGAGGATCATTGGCTGATTTGCGCCCAGAAGCTCCAGCAATGGGAGATTTTGAGCGACTTCGCCAAGCACGAGAACCTTAACGATCTTCTACTGGAGGCCGCTTGGAGAAACATTGAGAATTGGCAGAGTGAAGGAAATCGTGAGCAGCTTGAGTCATTGATCAAGTCAGTGTCCGATGCTCCAACTCCCAGGCGCACCTTTTTCCAGGCCTTCATGGCTCTTCTCCAATACCACACGAAGAAGGACAACATCCAGGACTTTAACAGCGTTTGCGATGAGTCTATCCAGCTCTCGATTCGCAAGTGGCTTCAACTGCCGAAGCGCATCACCAACGCCCACATTCCCATTCTGCAGCATTTCCAACTCTTGGTGGAGCTACACGATGCCAGCCACATCTGTAGCAGCTTAGCTCAGACAAATGAAAGGAACTTGGATACCAAGTCCGCCGAGCTCAAGCTACTTCTCGGGACCTGGAGAGACCGTTTGCCCAATCTCTGGGATGATATCAACACATGGCAGGATCTCGTAACCTGGCGCCAGCACATCTTCCAGCTCATCAACGGCACCTATCTCAGTCTTTTGCCTCCACAGACGAATAACGTAGCCAGCAACTCTTACGCCTACCGGGGTTACCATGAGACAGCATGGATCATCAATCGATTTGCCCATGTAGCTCGAAAGCACCAGATGCCAGAGGTCTGCATCAACCAACTCAGCCGTATCTATACCCTTCCGAACATCGAAATCCAAGAGGCCTTCCTCAAGCTTCGGGAGCAAGCGAAGTGCCACTATCAGAATCCGAAGGAGCTGAACAGCGGCTTGGATGTGATAAACAACACTAACCTCAATTACTTCGGGCCGCAGCAGAAGGCCGAATTCTACACGCTTAAGGGTATGTTCCTTGCTAAGCTTGATCATGTCAATGAGGCCAATGAGGCGTTTGGAGTTGCCCTTTACTATGATCTCCGCCTTGCTAAAGCCTGGTCTGAATGGGGACAATACAGTGACCAGCGCTTCAAGGCTGACCCGACTGACTACGAGCTGGCTAGCAATGCTGTTAGTTGCTACCTAGAAGCGGCTGGTCTCTACAAGAGTGCGAAATCCCGGAAACTGCTCAGCAGAATCCTCTGGCTTCTCAGCCTGGACAACGACGAAGGGAAGATCGCAAGTGCGTTTGAAAACTTCAAGGGAGACACTCCTGTGTGGTACTGGATTACTTTCATCCCTCAACTTCTTACCAGCTTGTCCCACCGGGAGGCGCGTCTCTGCAAGGCTGTTCTGGTCAAAATCGCCAAGTTGTACCCACAGGCTCTGTTCTTCTTGCTTCGCACAAACAGAGAGGACATGCTGAGTATCAAGAAGCAGCATGACCAGAAACAGGAGAAGCTGAATCGAGCCAGACTGCAGCAGCAAGGTTCTTCGCCAAGTACGAAGCTAAATCCCGCAGGTGCCGATAGCTCTCCTGCTCAGAAAGCCCAAGCTTCAGCCGCATCGACCAATGCTTCCCCGTCAGTCCCGCCTGCAAACTCACCTGCTACACAAAGTTCGGCCCAAACACAAAACCAGTCTCCCGCGCAGCCACAAAACCCCATGCAGGCATCACTGCAAACTGTCCAAACCTCGGGCCAAGCGCAGCAAACTCATCTACAAGTGCCAGGTCAAAGTGGAACACCCCAACAGAACCAGGTCGCACCTGTGGAGGGCGAGAAAGAACCACTGAAGAAGCCTTGGGAGTACTCGGACGAAATTATGTCTGGACTCAAGACGGCATTCCCTCTACTTGCTCTGTCCATGGAGACAATGGTTGACCAGATCCACAAGAACTTCAAGTGTCCCCCCGACGAGGATGCCTATCGACTCATCGTTGCTCTTTTGAATGATGGGCTGGCCTATGTGGGTCGCATGCCTGGATCTTATGCCCAAGACTTCAAGCTGCCTGCCGCAACAGAAGCGAACATCACCCGATTCGCAGAGACAATTCTCCCGGCTCACATTCGCAAGTCGTTCGAGGCGGACTTTGTGACCAAGAAGCCAACCATGAACGAGTACATCCACAAGTTGCGGCGTTGGCGTGACAAATTTGAGGAAAAGCTCGATCGCAGATCACAGCACACATTCCTCGAGAACTCTTCACCTCACCTGAGTGAGTTCCGCTTCTTAAAGTTTGATGAGGTCGAGGTTCCTGGCCAATACCTACTACACAAGGACAAGAACCAAGACTTTGTCCGCATCGACCGCTTCCTTCCCGATGTGGACCTCATCCGAGGCATTGGTGTCTGCCACCGTCGCTTGAAGATCCGCGGACACGACGGCAGTATGCATGCATTTGCTGTTCAGCATCCCGCTGCCCGCCACTGCAGGCGCGAAGAACGCATTCTTCAACTATTCCGGATCTTCAATGGCCTCCTTGCAAAACGCAAGGAGAGTCGCCGCCGCAATTTGTACTTCCACTTGCCGTTAATGGTTCCACTAGCACCACACATTCGTTTGGTGCGCGATGATTCATCGTACATCTCCATGCAGGGCATTTATGAGGACTATTGCCGCCGTAAGGGAATCAACAAAGATGACCCGGTGCTCTTCACGATGGACAAGATGCGATCATTAGCAGAAACCAAGCAGAACGTAAGTGTGTCGTACACATCTCTCTTAACTAGAGCTAACAATTCCCAGCGCACTCCCGATCAGCAACAGGTTCTTCGCACAGAAATCTTGACCGCGATTCAAGACAAATGGGTCCCGAGCACCATCGTGTTGGAATACTGCCAGCAGACATACCCCAACTTCTCGGACTTTTGGCTCTTCCGTCGTCAATTTGCCTACCAGTACGCAGCGATTGCTTTCATGACCTACGTCATGCACATTGGCAACCGGTACCCAAACAAGATCATGATATCTCGTTCGACGGGCGATATTTGGGGTGCCGAATTGATCCCCACAATCAACCCGGCGAAGGCGTTCTTCTATAACCCCGAGCAAGTCCCCTTCCGGTTCACGCCGAATATCCAGACACTTCTGGGTCCTATTGCAACGGAGGGTGTTTTCGCTTGTGCAATGATGGCAATCGCACGCTGCCTGACGGAGCCGCGACACGAGCTTGAGCAACAGCTCAGCGTTTTCGTGCGCGACGAAATGATGTTCTGGGCTACGGCCCACCACCGCGGTGTCCTGCCCCCTGGACAACTCCGCGACCTGGTCTATAACAACAGCGAGATCATCGTCAACCGTGCTGTCAGTCTTGCCAGCCCACCGGAGGGCAACTTGCCTGCCAATCAGACCACCATCGATCTGATCTCCAAGGCAGTCAACCCTCAGCATTTGGCGTCGTGCGATGCGTTGTGGATGCCGTACCTGTGAGTATCGTTTTTTGTCGATCTGCGCGTTTCTGTCATACCAATTGGCGATGGGGACTTTCTGCATGGCTATGATGCTTTCTGAAGCGGTGGTTTCATCTCTGGGTCTGTTTTTCTGAGCGTGGGTGCTTCGGCGAGGTGCGCAGCGTTTCTTCACGTTACTATGATTGTGATACCGATTTCTTTCTTGTTTTAATACCGTCTACAACTTCATTGATACTTCGAAATATTAGCTCCGATAGTTATTGATACTTCGATTTCATTGCTATCTGTGAATTTCATTTGTAGCCTGATAACGCCTGCCCAGTGGTTAATTTCCAGTTATCAAATCATGATGCCGTAAACGCTCGCTTGAACTCCATGCCCATGACAGAAAAAAAAAAGGCGTTAAGACGTTGGAACTTATTCCTTGCTTGGCTTGGGCGTCAAAGCGTTACCCTCGGGGCCACGGCGGCGCTTGTTGATTCTCTTGCCCCATGGGTAAGGATTTTTCGGCGGAGCCCCAATCCTTGCGTTGAATTCTTCAATTTCAGCGTCCATCGCTGCCTGGCGTACGGCACGCTGCTTGGCCCTGAACTCCTGGAGAAGAACCTCCATCTCCTCATCCTCTTCCTTAGCAATGCGGAGGGCCTCCTCATCGACCTTTTCCTGGGCAGTAGCGATATCAGCTTTGTCGCCGAGGGCCTCGGTGCGCTCGATGCGCGCATTGCGGGTTCGGATTTCGTCGAGGGCGTCAGCGACCTGCATCTCGCGCTTGGAGTCGAGCATCTTGTCTTCGAGTTCGGCCATCTTGTCACGCTCGAGCTGCTCTTCCTTTGCGCCATGCTCCTTCTCAAGTCGGTCAAGAGTCTGCTCCTCGGTCTCGTCGTTGTACTTTTCGTCTTTGGCGTCACGCCAGACTTCGAAGTTGCGCTTGGCGCCGCGTTCGCACTGGTAGTCGTTGTCTAGTACTGTGTGTTAGATTTTTTTTTATGTCGAGATGTTAGCAGCATGGGTTTGTACTAACTCTTGGGATCGGTGCGGAAAGTGATCTCGCCGCTGCAACGGCTGCAACGGATGTAGAACCGGAAGATCGGGATTGACAGGTACTTCTCTTCAACGGTCTCCTTGCGCGCGTTGAACTTACGACCCTTGGGAATGAACTCGCCACAATGAGTGCATTTCATCGAGAATGGGGTCATCAGACGGCTGGCAGTCAGTTTCGGCTCGGGTTTTCCATCCTTGCGAGAACGCTTGGATTTGCCCTCGATCGCAGACGGATCAAAGTCCGGTGGGTAATACTTTGAGAGGACCTTACGCTCAGCCATCGTGCTCCTGGGTGGTGGATGAAACTGGGGGTTGTGGAGGGGAAGATGGAAAGGAAAACAAACCTGGGAACCGCGGTCCTTTGTACGCTTCATTGCGATTATCACGTGGCGATTAGCGTATCGCCGGCAACGATAACGGATGTCGATAAGATGATACGGATATTCGATAAAGACCGAAAGCCACGTGGTGGGGTAGCGATAAGGGAACGTTCTACGAAGCGGTGCAAGACAAGGTCATGGGCCCCCGAGGGAAGGCACTCTACTCTACGTGTGTTCACGATCATTTGACTGAACCTGGCGGACCTTTCTAGTTAAAATTGAATTTCATAGGAATAAGTCTACATTCATCCCACAAAAACTACCTAAGAAACACAACTCGCAAGCTTAAGTAGAAGACCTCATAGATACCAGATGTACGATTGAATCGTTCAGCCCTACGAGCCATTTTTAATAGCATGGATTGGTACAGGAGTGTAAGAAGCATATATGTGACTAGGGGTAGGTGCTTAGCATGGTTAACCAGTTGATTGTTTTGGCATGGGGCAAAAGTGGAAAGTCACGTGGGTTCATCTATCCTGCACTCAGCACAATATAGGATTAACACTGTTGTCAGTGTCTTTTTTACGATTGATTCGTAGTACTAGCTATCATTTGGAGACATTTCACATTGAAAGAAGCGTGTTGTTCACTCGATAGATGTCCTTTAGATCAATATGTTGTACTACATAGTTACGTACTGGGTATGTTGTGACAAGCACGCACGGGCCACTGTTTGGTTCACAATAGGGCAAGGACCCGCTCGTGCGAAAGTGGCCTGCGACGCGCATTGCTTTGCCAGATTTATCCGGGTTCTCAAAGGAATCTCGATGTCCGTTTTGACTCCATTACTTGCCGAGCCCCATCTGTCGATATGGAAAGGTTCCTGCGCTCGTGGCGACAGGACGCGTTGAATCGTGGCCAGCATGATTCCGCAATCTACATAGGGGACAAAGTCCTGGCGCTGACCAGTGAGGACTACACACACCGTGAACAGACAGTGATACAAGGGATACTGACATACTGGCAAAGACAGTGACTCTGACGCGTTTTGGCTGGCTCAGGTACATTTCTCAAATAACAACTTCACACGCGCCCTGGCCCTTCTCTCCCGCAAGGATCTCGTTTCTCGAAGCACCGCCTGCCGCTACCTTGCTGCGCACTGCTACATCAAACAGAATCAATTCGAACAAGCCCTCTCCATTCTTGGTGAACACAACCCTACGGACCTCATCCGCAATAACCACACCCGGCGCAAGATCCAACACCAAAGCCATGTTACACTGCGCAATGGGAAGAGCGCGATGCCGCGGAGTGATCGAGCCGAGGAGCGAGAACGCGAGGATGCCAATAATGTGCGATTTGAAGCTGCTATGTGTTATTTACGGGGCCTTTGCTTTGCTAAGCAGAATGCGTTTGACCGTGCCCGGGACTGTTATAAAGATGCCGTGCGGATTGATGTGCAGTGTTTCGAAGCATTCGACCAGCTCATGAAGAACTCCCTAATGTCTCCCACCGAGGAATTGGAATTCCTTGAATCCCTTGACTTTGATTCCGTCTCATCTCCCGATCCCATAATGGCACAAGAAGCCGCCCACTTCACGAAGATGCTGTACACGACCCGTCTATCGAAATACTCCTCCCCTACCATCCTTTCCGACGCCACCGAAACCCTATCGACACATTACAATCTTGCCGACAACCCCGACATTCTCCTATCCCGCGCCGAAGCTTTGTATACGCAATGTCGGTTTGCAGAAGCTCTGGGGTTGACGTCCTCTATCCTCTCCACATCCCAATCAACCGACCTGTCCACCACAAATCCCAGCATTCCAGCACAGAATAACCTTGGTCATGCTCCAGCCATTTATCCGCTCCACTTGGCTTGCCTTTACGAGACCGGTGCCACAAATGCCCTATTCCTACTCTCTCACATGCTCGCGGATCACTCCCCCGAGGAGCCATATACATATCTGGCAATTGGTGTCTACTATTTGTCGGTATCCAAGGTGGCCGAGGCGCGGCGCTTCTTCTCGAAGGCTTCACTGCTAGATCCTCATTCGGCCCCGGCTTGGATTGGATTCGCGCACACCTTTGCGGCAGAGGGTGAACACGATCAAGCTATCGCAGCCTACAGCACTGCTGCTCGACTTTTCCAGGGCAGCCATCTCCCCCAACTCTTCTTAGGGATGCAACATCTCGCCCTCAATAACATGGCTCTGGCACACGAGTATCTATGTGCGGCTCACGCGATGTCCACTGGAGCTGCTCCCGGCTCTGTGCCTTCCCTCACACCGAATCCCTCGGGGGTCGTCTCAGCCGTCGGTGGGGATCCACTGGTTCTCAACGAGCTGGGAGTTGTCCTTTATCACCAGAATCATCTTAGCGGTGCCATCGAATTGTTTGGGCAAGCACTGGCCCTAGCTACTTCTCTCCACTGCGAACCCAGCGCCTGGGTGGCTACACGTGCGAACCTGGGTCATGCCTTCCGTCGCATGGGCCGTCTCTCTGATTCCCTTCGTGAATTCGATGAATGCCTCCGCGTGGGCGCAGGAGGGAGCAGTATGGGCTACTCGCCATTTTTGGGCGGTGGTACGGGTGGCTCCGCGGCGATCGCGACCGCATCCGGGGTTGGGGGCTACGAAGATCGGGGGCTGATGGGTTCTCTACACACGTCTCGTGGCCTTGTGTTACTAGAATTGGGACGAACCACGGACGCGGTGACTGCCTTGCATGAGGCCGTACGTGTACTTGGAGCGAGTGGTGGCGGCGATGCAGCCGGGGGTGCGGGCGTGGCCGGTACATTACTTTCCCGGGCACTCGAGCTCTGGGCCCTGGAGGGGCGACAACAGGACCGTATGGCTTTGGAGGATAGTATGCGAGAAGCCAGTGCAGCCCCTTCCAAACGCCGGGGGTCAACTCGGTCTCGTGAACACAAGGGCAAAGAGCGAGTCGCTCCGGAAGAGATGTCTCGACGGCGTGCACGTCAGGGGCCCTTTGTGGAAGGGTGGACGGAGGAGGCGGCTCAGATCGTCACGCCCCCGGCTGAAGACGAGAAGGTTGAAATGGATCTCGACAACGAAGCTGACGGGCTTTTGCGCCGAGCTCTCGGCCGTGTTCGAAATACACGACAACGTCGGCCAGCAGTACCTACCACCCCAGACATGGATGCCCGCGAAACGCCTGCTCCATCCAGTCGCAGTCGGGGGATACGACATGGTCGGAGTCACTCTGGACAATGACGAAGCTTTTGAACCCTCCCTGTCTAGGTGACATTTTGCGTTCTTTTCCATGCATTGCAGCGGGCGTTTCTGTTGTCAGGGGAAAACGGCTGGAGGCTGGGCAATTGGTTTTTTAATGCAACTTATGCTAGACGATCAAGCAGACATTGTTAGAGACCTTCTTCTTGCATCTAGTCTGGAGGGACTGATCATGGTAGTTCAAACAGAGCCCCGTCCACTTTCCTAGTAGCTCGCCCACTAGTTACTAGGCTAAGATAGGGTAGTGGGAGTGACAATGTCATTAGGATTAACTAGTTACGGAGTTTTTCATCCTTATGTTCCGTCGAACCACATGGCTGATGATCAACGAACTTCCCCGAGAATGTCCCCAGCGAAAAAGACCCCGGAGTCCATGTTGACGTTGAGTCTGGGCGATTCCCCTCACTTCACTCCCTTGGCTCTTCTTCCGACCCTCTTGGTCTCTCTTTTATCCACGAAGGGGTGTTCCTGTCCAATCAATCTAAAATCGAACCAATCAAACCCATCCCCAGGGAAGTTCAAAGTACAAAAACGACAAAACGACAATCACGCCGCTGCCCCCACTGGCGAGCCGCAGCCCGCCAATGCGGGTATTGGAGGTCGATTATCCATAGTGGTGGTGTATCACTGCCCTTGATGGGGGACCGTTGAACAGTGGTCCGAAACGAAAGATCGCGAACGAGGGCTTTGTACTTCTGGAGAGCCTGAGGATGTACGGATTCGATGCTGCTAGCACGGCACAATGCCAGGCTCTCCTGTAAGGATACGCAGCCAGGATCCAGCAGACACACAACCTACAAGCCTGGATGAATCCTTTTTCTCCCTTGCTACCTAGGATCCCACGAGAGCGATTGCCGTGGTCGATTGGACAGTTTAGCAGTCATTCGATCGTGACAAGATGTTCATTTCATGATTCTTGGGTTGTAGAGTGCCTTTTGCCTCATTCTAGTCGACTGCTAGTCATTCTAGCGCTTTTATCGGACCTCAATCATCTCAGAACAATTGCCCAACTATCACGACTCAGTCTCTTTATGCCGAAGATTGCAACTCGGTTAGAATAACCCGACATCCCAGCGGCGCCAGAATCCCACCCTGCTCGAATCAGCATACGTCAAGTAAAAAAAAGCACTGGAAGCCACATACCGGCGTCATCTTCAACCGATATTCAGGATCAACAACCCAACTCACCCTCCCCAGCAAAACAAACAACAGAATCTTCACCTGCAACAACGCAAACCCCTGCCCAAGACACCTCCGCTTATGCGCATTAAATGGAACATACGTTCCCCGAACCGTCTCTCTCCGAAACCGTCCCTGCATCTCCGAAACCGTATCCCCCCACCTCTCCGCCCGGAACTCGCGCGCATCCTCACCCCATACATCAGGATTACTATGCACCGCCCACGCATTCCAGCCCACAAACGTACCCTTCGGGATGGGAAGTTCTCCCCCCAGCAGCGCCGGCTGCAAGGCAACCCGGTTCACGAGCTGACACACAGGCGGGAAGAGACGAAGTAACTCCAAAACCACCGCTGTGAGATATGGGAGATCGTTGACAACTTCCTGGGATGGATTCAGGTGGATCTTGGCTGTCGCCAGAATCTCCTCTCGTAACCGATCCTGGATATCGACTCGAGTACCCAGCTGCCAGAACATCGACGTGACGAGTTGCTGCGCGTTCTCGTGTGCAGTCAGGAATGTTATTTTGAGATTATCGCGGAACTGCTTCTCGGTGATGCGGCCTGCTGTGTATGCTTCGCCGAGCATGTGGGAGACCATCTCTTCGGATTGGGTGGATTTGCTTGATGTGCGCTTGTGAAGCATGGTCATAATCATGGCATAGAGGCGGTTGTCGAACTCGTGCATTATGGAGTAGGCGCGTTTGCGGGACGGCAGCAGCCAGGGAAAGTGGTCGAGATCGGGGAAGCTGAAGTACAGTGGGTTGAAGAGGGTTGTTTTGATCACGGATTGGAGGGCTTCGATTCGGACGGCGCCGTTGGGTTGACCTAGGCTCTGCCCGAGGTTTGCTTAGTTCTCAGGGTAAGTATTGAAGAATGATCCTTCGGTGTAGAGAGGCGATGACGAGCTTGATACTCGATACCTTCAGATCCAAATCCAGGAAGTTCTCGCCCATCACATCCACAGCCCATTTCTGCACATCTGCCATCACCAGAATACCTTTCTCCGCCCCAGTCTCCTTCTGCAAATCCATCAGAATATGGACCAACTTCCTGGACTGTTTGAGTAACGAAGTTGTCTCAAAAACCTTCTTCTGCAACCCGGCCTTCATGATGCCAGTGTAGAGCTTCCAATTCTCGCCATGGGCATTGATGATGTTATCCCCAACCAGCGCCGCTATAACGGCATGCGGAATCTTCACCTGGCTCCCGGCTTTTGCATAGATTTGTTCGTTGCGGAACATATCGGTTAACCAATCCGGTCGTGAAACGAGAACACTCCACCGTCCAGCGACCCACACTAACACGGCGCCATGTTTCTCTAGTGGAGCTCTGAACCATCGTTCGTAGATCTCGTCTTGGCCCATTGAGGACCAAAGGCCGAGGATTGAGACGTAGATTGGGATTCTGGGGAGGTTTGGGAGGTTTCGTGGGACGTGGAGGTACCAGGATAGGAACAGGAGAGGGGGGAACAGGAAGGTTATGAGTGTCAAGAAAAGTAGTGAAGAGAATGCCATGTTGGGGATAGCGACGGTGAATTTCTTAGAAACGAGAAGAAAGGAATACTGGAAATGGGGTCTGATACTCTCTCGTCCTGGTACTATATAGCGAGTTGGGTGTCTACTCGGCGCTCTGTGCCCTGATGCACATGGTGTCAGCAGAAGTCAACACGCCAACACTGGTGTCACGCTGTCCACCGTGAGTTTCTTTAGTTCACTTTCTACTCTGGTCTTCTGTTAGGAGGGTTTGGAAGCAGGGTTTGGAAGCAGGGTTTGGCATGTTGGGTAGGAGATGTGGTGTAGGATGTGGCTGTGTGGTGAAAGAAATATATAGCGACATGACGAAAGCCCAAAAGATGCGACAGGTCTTCATCCTTAGATTTCTGTACCACTTATGTTCAGAAGAGCCTAGTATACCTTAAAGCAAAAATTAAAACGAGTCAAAGTCCCATACATAGTGGTGACATCCCCTCAGAATGAAGAGTGATCGAATGTGGAGTTTGGAAGTCACACTGGGGGATTTGGGCACACACCCAGTGGTCCCTTTAACTCGGAGATTCCCCAGTACATATTAGGTCTTCATTCCAAATCGAAATGCTCGTGAATCTCCCCCAGAGTCAGGCTTGATCTCTGCAGGTTCGCCTTCGGGAGATGGCAATCTTTTACAACGACTCCAGTCGCCATAGCTGCTCATGACATTCAACAATCTTCTCTTTGTCTTGGAGCTAGGCTTTCTGTGCTTCAAAGTAGACTAAAAAACCAGTTAACTTGTTGTAGAAGATTAGCATAGATGAGACAGCTTACTTGTCTAGTGCATCAATTGGAGTCAGGTCATCTACCACCTGGAAGAAGACCCTCAGTTTTAATTTAGTCGGATAGTGTTTGAGGGGAAAGACTTGCTCTTCAGATAGGTAAATCATTATGCTTTCGAGAATTAAACTGCAAAATGATCTTAAGAGCTGGAAAGGAATATGTGAACATATCACTCGCAGTCCTGTGACTCCATTCACACATCCACCAAAGTTCTGTAATTGGTCACGTTGTTTAAATTCCTGCCTGAAGCATCGCAGACAGGGAAAATCCATAAAACACAGTAGCTATGATGGCAATAGCATTCAAATGGATGGCCATTGCGTGATTTCGCGCAAAGTTGCGGTTAGCCTGACGCAAATTGGACCCATCGGAATCAGCCTCGGTGTTCTCGCTTTCTGTGGGTAGAATCTGTGTTAGTTATAGACTTAAAGCACCTTCAGGTAATCCCACCTTGTAGGGCCCTCCGGACCAACGTTGCAGTGGTCGTCCGAGGCCCGTAGACGAACCAATTCAGACATCCAGTCAACCCAACGACAGTAAGAGGAGCGACACTCCATGGATCTTGAACTAGTGACAGAACACTGAATGGTGGGTGTGTTGCTGCGGTCAACGCTGTGAGTCCGACCTGGGTTCCAAAGTAGATGGGGAAAAGGCGCTTTTGTAGGAGAATGAACTCCTTCATTGGCAATACTTGGTAGCATATTTTGGTGTTGACAAAGCTCTGTCTGTGGTTAGTCACGAGACTACTTGTGTCTTTGGAGGAGACTGGAGACGTACCTGATAGAGCTCTGTTCCGAGGAGAGCGCCATAGGAGAGAAGATGATAAGGGAGAAGAGTGCCCACTGCTTCGAGTAATAACTCCATCTTGTCAAGCTACTCTGAGGATCGAACAAGACTTGATGAGACTGGGAGAGGGGAGAATGGCAGAGTTGGAGAGAGTACTCTCTTTGGGGTGACCTGGCTGCCTACGGAATCCTTGGCGGCTTACTGGCTGAGATGTCTACCAGCAGAGTCAAGGCTGATGGACTTTCGTTTTGCTGGTCTTTGCTTAGATCTGGATCCCTCAAACACGCATATTAAGTGGTCGTCGAAATGTGCGGATCTTGGCCAATTGTCCAGAGATTCTGCTATTCTACCAATGAAAGATGCCGAACATGTTCAACCTACATCCCCATTTTGGGCTGCACAGACTCATTTTTATTTCAAGACCGTTATTGCAGACAAAGAGTACACATCACCTGGATCAAGCATCCTGCAGTTACACAAAAGACTTTCCAGAATCTGATCCAACGACAAACCAAACCGGATGTTCCGTTAGTTCCTATGGCTGGATCTCACATGCATTTGTATCCCCGGGGGTGGAAGAGCAACCACAGTGGCACCACATACCAGTACTCTAGGTTCTTGAAAGCATTGCTGGGCACTCTGAGCTGTTGGGCTGCATGTGGGAAATCCGCCCATCCATGACGCCATTGTAAAAAATGACTCCTTTGGGGCATCCCTACTACTCTATACCATCTCATTGGACCACCGAAGGGAATTTGAGAACAATTGAGAAAGGAAAGTAAACGTGAGAAGGTTATGTGACCTCTTTCAACCGAGATAAAAGAAATAAGAGCACTAGAGGTTTCCAACCCGGAGTACATTCAGCGTGAGCTTGTTGTTTATGTAGCGGGAGGGGCCATGGCACGACAGGTCTTATTTTAAGACCTCTGATTGAAGGTTGTACTGGCTGTCATGGCCTTCTAACTAGGAGTCTGTGACCATTGTCTTGGCCTCCCCTGAGAATCGTTGATGAGGATGGCCTAGAGATCGATATAACCCACTAGGAGATCATCCGTCCGATTTCTTCTCAGCTTGAACACAAGATCATGGCAATTGCCCTTGCCACGTGGGTCCGTGTAATCCGGTAGGATAAAGGCTGAGTTCGGAGATGTCCGTGTCGACAAGAAGATATTTGAACACATGTGATGTGAAGTATAAGTAGGCGGGGATGCTCATTCCAAGTACCGGGGGTAGGGTAGGTTACCAAGGCAAGGTAGCACGGGGTTGCCACTTCGAGGGGTCTAAAACATGGTTGTTGGGCTCCGATACGCAAGACTTCGAGCCCACGAGGTAGATCCTAGCTGAGGGTCTCATGGGGTTTGCCAAATCGCAGGCTGTTGGAATGATAGCATCAGAGAATCTCGGACGCCATATCGATGCATACACCCTAGGCCGGGGGTGGTCTCTGAATACACCACCTCGTGCGACTATCCTGAAACCTTCTCCTGGAATGCCCAACTCTGCTCAAGAACTTTGTCTCAAAAAAGTCGGAAAGCTGAGAAAGGTAGGTGGGTTGATCTGACCAGACAACAACATCACGCGGCTGAAAAAAGGGTTGAACCAGTGGCTTTCCGACCGAATCATTCATCACCGAAGATCCGTTGTACAGGCTGCGTCACACTGTGAAATCAGGCGTGATTCTGCCTCGTGGGCGCACGGCCTGTATAAAATCCAAGAGAGGCCTGACCGTGATGGGTCTTTTGGGTGAGCTTTTGCACTGAACATTTGGAGACTCGAGATCTCTCATCTTCGAACACATATCTATCAAACCTATTGCACAACAACACCCTGTAAGATGAAGATTAAAGAACAGTCAAAAAGTCCCAAAGATGAGGACATCCTCAGCCAAACACAAGATCCGTTGGAAAGAAGGAGACTACAAAACCGCCTATCTCAGAGGAATCACCGTGAGATATGACCCCTCAAAAGAGACATGTGCGTGGAAACTGACAAAGTACAGGTCGCAAAATCCGAGAACGCATCGCGAAGCTTCAAGAGCGGGTGATTGCCAACGAACTCAGAGCTGCAGCTGCTCTCAACGGATGGGATCAGGTGTACAACCCTTTCCTCTTCCCAGGATCTCACTCATCTTCTTCGGAGAATGAGCTTGAATTGACCTCACGAGAAGTTTCCCCTTTATTACCATACCAATGTACTTCATTCATGCCGTCACATCCTTCGTTTTCGCAATCATGGCCAAATGACTTCCATACACTCCCACAGCACGTGTATCCCGGCGATCTATCCCAATTCACTGGAGCCAGCGAAGCACTTCCAATATCTCCTATCACAAGCACTGCAGCCCAGCCAATTCACAGCATGTCACTAGCCAGCTCACACCTTGGTGGCGATGTACCCCGGAATATGATGGGCATCCCAGCTACCTTGGGACCGGACTCCCTGTCTACATCAACGCCTAATCAGCCGCTGTACTACGTTGCGACTGGTCAGTACTCCATCTGCATGAAACAGGTGAACTAAGCAACTGACCCAAAAGAACAGAAGAGGCCTTGCCGCAAATTATTCAGGTCATCAACACCATGTCTCCCCAGTACAAAGTGATCGTTCTGGTTCCTCTGGAGTCTCCGAAATCGGCTTCGATGGCTTCCTGTCCTTCACCAACTTCTCTCTATAGTGCTGGTCATAACGGTTCAGACCATGGTCTTGCAGCACATCAGCCTAGCTCGCAGAATCTGGCGTGTCTGTGTTATTCTTACAACGTCCATTTGGAATCTCCTGCACACTCCGCCGCAAGACCATGGATAGACGGGGATTTATATGCGCAAGTTTGCCCTTTACACAAGACGGCAAATACAGTCCCACCAAGGGCGGCGTTTCCGGTAAGGATGATATGAGTCTGTTGTGGTTGTGTACAAAGATAGAAGTGGTCGAGCAAGAGCCAAATATGGGATGTACACCAAGAGCGAGTGTGCTTTATTTGTGCCATTATCTTGATTTCTACTATCTAGAGAGTGCTCTTTGCCGTCACTGAAGATTGGTAGAGTGAACTTCAGACCATAGCAGGGAAACGATCAACGGTTGGCCTGACCACGTAAACGAGGACATTTTCAGGCATATTCATGATCACCTTACATGTAAATTCGTGATCTTTTCTAACCAACGTGTTAGTTTAGACTATGGAAGTGTCCAAAAATCCTATTTTCATGCTTCACGCATCCATGTACTGGGCAGACCGTATAGATTGATCCAAAGGGGAAAAGAGGAAGAATCATGGTTTCATTGAAGAATAACTGACCAAGTACGGATGATCATTCGAAATACCAGACTCGATGTCTATTGGATATTGCCTGAAAGACGTGTGTAATTGCTTCGGAAGACCCAGTAACCTCGCAGTCGCACCAAACGTAGGCCAAATGTGCGAGAGAAAACCGCGAGAGACCCAACCAAGAGAAAAAAAGAATAACTGAGAACACAGGATACGAGTTCAAAAGAAAAAAAGAAATAAAAGAAATCAAAAACCATCGTCATCATCTCAGTCGCAGTGAATTCGCCATAGCTCTCGGTCACAGTCACTGAGATATCCAGTTCGAGTGTGCAGCATGGCAGCGTTGTCACTAACCAGCAGATCACCCTTCTCCCAACCAAAGCGAAGGCAAACTCTGTAGTCATAGGTGAGGCGATCCACAACTTTTACCAGATCCGGGTCATCATTCTCGATTGTAACATCACACGTCGAGAATTTGGTCTTGGTCGCGTCCCAAGGCTGGTGCCAACGTAGACATGGTAATCCAGAGACAGGATGCTTCACGATCAAGGGGAGGTTCTTGAGTTTCGCATCCCAAAATCCGTCATTATCCATAGCCCAGGTAACCTTTTCAAGACGCTCAGTAGACCAAGGGAGAGGCAGGAACCGGAAAAAAAGTCGGGAGCTCGCAAATAAGGTGTACCCATTGCCCTTGGGCGCAGTGGCAGGACAAGTGAAGAACTGATAGCCCGGGGGATCTTGGACTTTCTTCGTCTCGCCTGTTTCAGGGTCGGTGATCTCCGCGAACTTGAAGATCCCGTCGAAATGCATCGGCATGGCCTCGTTGGATGTCACGTTGTTGCCCATCTTGTCAGAGCGGCCGTTGTCTCGCACCTTTTGGATGATACCGAAACTCCACGGCAGAATGATTCCAAGCTCTTCTCCCTTCTTGACGTAGAGATCCTCCTCGAGCGTTTCGGAAAATCCGCGAATGACAATTGGCGACATGCCATTCGACAGTTGGCGGACCTTTTGCATGGGGATGGACCGGATGGACGGCGGCGGATTGACATTGTCGATGTCGGCAGGGCGGATAAGAAGTCCGCAGGGATAGAGATGCTCGAACTTGACAGATAGGCCGTCCTCGGTCCAGTCAAAGAGACCAGATCTTTCACGGAAGAAATATGGTTGTCCGTTCTTATAGATGAGATCGTGCGTGTCGCGTACGTCTTCAGCGTGGACCGTGCGATATGACCCGTCCAGTCCGACGGCCACAGAAGAGTGCCAAGGGGTATGTCCCAGTATACCTCGACGCTGTGGAATAAGCGAAACAGAAAGTTTTTTCTCGCCCGCAGATTCGTGGATGGACAGTCGGACATAGTCTTTGCGGTTGGCTTTGATGGCCGCCGCGAACATTTTGCCCCGAATGATCATCTGCCGTGCCGTGTCGGCAATTTGTGCCTGCCGAGCGCGTTTCGACATCGATTTCTCCTTCTCTTCCAGATGGGCTAGATCCTTGGTCAAGAACTTGATGTAGCCACGGTATGTCAGGCATGTGTCATTGTCAGTTTTGATAGCCTGCGTCGCGTCGAAGCTCGGATCTGCAAAAGAATACATGAGTTCTCGGCGGAGACAACGGGCATGAGCCAGATAGAATGCCTTTGCAGACTCTGGATTTGAGGATGGGAACCATGGATGCTCGAGAAGCTCGAACAGCCGAATGAATTTGACATGGTGGAGTTCTTTCTCGATGGCCATTTTTCGCAGGGTCTCTCCATAGTCCCAAACCGTTTCATCGGGAACGCCCAGAATATCTGGTTGAGGTCAGCGTTGACTCGTGATGACCATCAATCCATGGTCATTTCCTTACCATTGTATACAAGGCCATCCGAACTGATGTAGATGTCGGCACCAGGGCCATATACTTCCCCGATGTTTTGGCAAAGTCCATTCAAATGAGCCAACGCCAATTCCTCACCAAAGTCAGGCATCATACCCAGCACTTTACTCCGCGCATTGGGGGACTTGAAAGGAAAGGCGGGCAAGATCATGCGGATTGGCTCTTGTCTGCTGATTTGCTCCAGAACAATTGGAACAAACGACTCAAAGCCCTTCCAGGAGATACCCGACTTCTCAAAGTCAACGCCATAACTTTCGATGATCTTCAATACCTCCATAGTCATCACTTCGTTTTCAAATAGAGCATTCGAGGTATCAAAGGCGATGGGGCTGTTGAGCACATTTTGTTCGTGTTGGTTGGTGTCATTGCCGTTTGAGGCCATAACTGCCGGATCGGCGCTGTCATATCTAGGAGGCATAGTCTCCACAGTTCTCAGAGCAACTTTCTGATTCGACGTTCCATTTTCAAGGAGGGAAATTCCCTTCTCGGCAAGATTGGGGTGGTATGCAGTGGGAACAATTTCCGCATCCGGTGCCAAGGCGACCATCGTGACTCGATCTGGAATGTATGTTGCCAAGGGAGCAACTCGGAGCCAGGCACTGGTCTACCCAGAAATAGGATGAGAGAAGGGCCTGATAGATAAGTAACTGTCTTGGTCTCACTCGAGTCCTGCGGAAATAGAGAGGTGTTGTTTTGATCCAAACCCAGATGGTGTGCTATATAACCAGTATCAACCCGAACACTGACCACGGGACAGGAAACATGGAAAAGTTCAACCCTCCGTTCCGATGACTGTAACTCCTGATGTGGACTAAGAGGTCAAGTCTTAGGTTCAACCTAGGGCATCCCAGGCTCGAATGGCATTCACCCTGTACTACATGGGGTCAGGTTAATCTACTATACTTGACCCCATGAATGTGATCATGGTGGCGGAAACTCGATAAACAGCCTTGACCGACTCAACAAAAGGCTTGCAGTTGAATTCTGACTAGATTGATGGCTAAGGTTGAGAAGACTCACCTTAGAACGCTTCAGTCATCCTTCCAGTAGTGTCAGCAAAGATCGTGTAGAACCGAAGATTGAGGCGGCTCGAGGGATGTTCCCAGAGGAAATGAGAAAAGCCTCAATTATCCACTGTGTCGGATGACTAGGGATGCATCAAAGTTTTAGATCCACTGGACAATCGAAATGATTGTGCCTATAAGGGTCAATGAGAATTCCAAGGATGGTCTCGCGATTCCCAGCAACCCACTGCCAATTCTGGGAAGTGACGACAAACTTATCCGGGTAATCCTATGCAGACTCAAGACACATGTTACCCATTGTGGCTTTGGCCATTGGGAGAGCGGGAACGTTGTTCTGATCTACAAGGTAGTGACAACGAAGGACTTCGACGTTGGATTTGGGCCGTTGATTCATCGCGAGATTAGGCAAGACAACCAACAGCGAGCTGGCATTTTTTCCTTTGACTGGACTATCCAGGCATGCTTTTTTCTTTGCAGAAATCAGAAATTCCACTGTGGTCAAACTTCTACCGCCCTGCGACATCCACGCTGGGTTTACAAGGCGAGATTAGAGAATAGGATAACCGGGGAAGTATGAATTGTCTAATTGGACGGATCTAAGCACACGTGCTGTTACCTTCGATGTTGCGTCCAAATTCGAGTCCACACTAGTACTTGGACGATTATCCAGTAGATCGTCATTATAGTGTTCACTGCCGAGCCTGTAGCTCACTCTTTGAGCTCACGCCAATCGTACTCCATAACCCGAGTAACAAAGACCGCCATATCAGGTGTTGCCAATTGACTAACAAGGTAGAATGTGGCATCTAAGCCCGAGCTTATCCCTCCAGCCGTGAGGAGTCGAATCCCTCCGCCCTTCAATAGACCCCCATCAAGAAATCGCTTGTGCAATACGGTCGTAGCGGGCTCACTTGGAGCATTGCAATGAGCACAGATCTCTCGAAGTTTGTTAAGAGCATGGTGATGGGTTGTCACGGTCATTCCACTGAGTACACCCGCAGCCCCAAGTAGAAAGGCGCCGGTACAGACTGACAGCAAAACCCTGGTGCCTGGTGAGGTATCCCTAGGTAGCGCTGCAAATTTTCGAATCAAATCAAGTTCCGGTGCATGATTTTCGATTAATGGCTGCACGACTGACGGGGGGCCACCCGGGATGACCAGGATATCAAAGTCTGCAATCTGATCGATTGCATCAGGCAAAAGCAGGTCTGCGTGAACTGTAAGCGAACTCGCAGCACGAATTGCGGGGCTGCAAGCGATAGTTCTGATTTCGAACATTCTGTCGGGGTTTTCTGGGTTTCTGTTGTGCGAGACATGGGATAAGACTTCCATTGGGCCTGCAAAGTCGAGGATGTCTGCTCCAGGAAACAGGAGGACCCCGACTTTGTAGTACTTGTTGGGGGACTCAGAAGACATGATTGCGAAGCGAAATTGCGACCTGGTCTTACAAGACGTACGGAGGTAGTTGTCTTTTGGTGGAAGTTTGGTATGGATCAATAAAAGCAGTAGTGAGATTGCTGGAGCTGATTCTCTGGGGTTTGATTGAAAGAGATTAGGAAGGCTGAGGTGCGTTTTACCTCGGAGCGTTTCTGACTCTGCTGACTCCAGCAAAACTCACTGCTCGAATCTGTCCTACCTTTGTCTCCACATTCACCGATTCGACGGTTGAAGTTTTGCAAGGTGACCAATAAAATCGGTCATTCGTAGTGCGCTTGGAAATTAAGCGGTCTCGGATGTTGGTGTAGGAAGCCCGGGGATGTAAATGTCTCACAGTGAGTGATCTCATAAGTTGCCCAGGGGCATCAGATTAGGTTTAAATGAAAGGAGGTTATAAGACCCCATAAAGACAGAGCCATGAACCACGTAGGAGGAGTTGTGGAGATCGATATCCGTAAAAGCTTTTAAGTGCCTGAGGCCATTGACAGTACTTTTACACCTTCCAGGCTCCAAATACTCTTTTTGATGACAAGGGTTCTTTGTTTGAAGTGATCTTTAATAGATCCTGGTCTTTTGGTCAGATCTTCAACCGGTCTTGGTACACAATGAGATGCCGGCATGCCAGCAAACCCCTGTGAGTGGCAACAACTTGAGATATACTTGATCATCCTTGCCTTTTTTTTTTCTTACGTTAGCTACTGCGGAGAGTAGCACTCAGGCAAACCCGGGCCTGCTATATTTGTCTTTTACAAATCCTAGTGTCTTGCAACTGCCATAGTCTAGCTAGAACAATCATGAAGCCATGCGAGCGAGTGAGAGCGAGATATGGTCTACTTGGTAGTTAAATTATACAATCCGCAGCCCCGATGTTGTTGACTTAGAGGGTGAACCATAGTCATGATGTGATTCCCCTCGGACCGGGCCCCGTCGGGTCTCCGGGGATGTGGGCTCGCGCGAACAACTCCCCGCCATTCAGACAGTGGGGAACGATTGCGCTAAAGGCAAATGTGGAGTTGAACAGAAATTAAATTGCCTCGTTGGACAAGCCAAATCGGGAATATCGATGGAGCATTTCTGACTCACTTTCGGCCAAAGAAAGACTAGTCGAGACTTCTTTGCCCAAGACGTCCCCGTCGAGAAGCGCCAGGATATTAGCGTGGGGAGTAAGCATGGCTCGTTTTGTGGACTGATTCGATATATCGTTATGTAAGATTCTGTTGAAGACATTATACAAATACCAGACGGTCAACAGCACAAATCGCACGGTAGGAATCATTCAACTCGTAGTCACAGGCTCTCATCCAACAAATTTGAATATTTAAATTTGCAAAAATAACCAGAAAGACGGGATGGACAGAAAAGAGAGACCGGCGCCGCGCTGAAGAGGAATAATGGAAAACTTAACGCTTCGCGAGGGACAGGTCGCCTCCAATCACTAGCCCCACAGGGGTGGATGGATGTACTCTGCTGCCCGATCCAGGATGTTGGGCATTGTCCATTCACCGCTGGCAGAGCTTTCGGGTGTAGGGGGTGGGAGAGAACCAACGCTGGGGGTCATGTTTGCCGGCCCAGGAACAAGTGTCCCCCCCATGGAAGCTGGAGCCGGGTTAAGATTAGAATTGGTACTAGAGTAGATGGGCGTACCATTGCGTCCCATGGAGGGACGCGTAGATGGATTCCCAACTGCCGCCAGGAGCTTTTGTAAAGCACGATGTGTTTTCGCTAGCGACTTGGCCCATTGCGTTTGTGTGTCAGGGGGTATCCCGACCGGAGTACTTGGATCCACCGCCGAAGCGATGGGGCCTGGGACGTTTGGAGTGCCCGTGATTGGGTCGTAATTGCCAAGGGGTTGAGGCGGGGAGGTGATACTGGCCACAGTAGTGGCCTCGTTGGACTCATAGGCACGCTCCGTGCTTGCTCTTTGGGCGATGATGCTTTCAAGGGAATGGAGAAGATTCCACACATTCGGGTCCGCTTTCGCCTCGTCGATGACAGCAAGTAGGAAAGCGGAACTGATCGCCCGCTGCAATAGGATCCAGGAACGAGCGGCATGCGAGCTGATGTTGTGCATTTCAATATAAGCTTCAACAGTCGTCATCAGATTTATTATGCAATTGCCGCGCATGCTGGCTGCGCTCGCGTCACTCAAATCAGCCATGGGTTTGAGCGCTGGCCGGCAGAGCTCAGAGGCGAAGTAAGAAGAATGCAATTTCAACACGACTCGTTCCAGATGTTGCGTAGGTGTGGAACAGTCAATTTCGTCTCGCAGGTATGGCTTTGCCTCTACCATGATCTTCTGGATACGGTCCTTATAGGTTTGTATGCTTTCCAAACTTATCTGCGCGTGTGGGCTCAGCATACGAATGCGTACAACCTCCAGTGCAAGAGAAATGACTCGAGAGAGAGTTTCAAAATAAGATACATCACCAGGTTTGGAGCCATCCCTATAAGCGATGTCTGGCTGGCTCACTGCGGTGGTGGAAGGTCGGTCGTAGGAGAGCGAAAAATGGCTGTCTTGCCACGCCATGGACCACCTATTTATGTCAGGGCCACAAAACTTCAGGTCAAATGAAGGGAAACTTTCTCACCAAACGTGTCGTCGGCGGTATCGTTCAGCTGACGAAAATCGACTTGACTCTACATGGAGACCGAGCGCCAAGCCCATGCGAAGAGTCATGCCAAGCAAGACATAAGAGATTCCAGGGTTCATGTTGTATGACAAAACGTTTCCTATCACCAGGAGAGTTTGAATTGCTTCAATGGTAGGCTGGGAGAGAAAATTTGTCATGCGGAGGCACTGGTATGAGCAGCACACTACTTGGAGTGTTAGCTAAACGACTCCACTGGAATCCTTGGTGTGAATCACATGCCATAAACTTGCGAGGTCAACTCCCTTTCCTTGCTCCCATAATCGGATGACTGACATCCAGAGGCAAGGATAGCGAACAGTAGTCCCAGATACGCAATAGTCACCCCGAAAGGCTTTTGTGCATGGTCTGCATCGGCCAGGTACTCGCCACCGATCGAGGTTCTTGTCGCCAGAAGAAGCTCGAGAGTGTTCTCAAACTCAAAGATATCCTCTAGGACAGGATATATAGCACCTGAGATATCTTTATAGTAGTAGAATAACCTATGGCAAGGAAGCAAAGTTAACGCAAACACCCCTTGATCATGAGCTGGACACAAGAGAAGACTACTCACTCCCTGCAATGCTGATCAGTGGGAAGGGCGCTACAGACAGCAGTGATATCAAATGTTGACATATCGGACGACCATAGATCAACAAATGGATAGGTCGCAGATTCATTATCCAAACCGAGCTTGGGAAGGATTCCTCCTTCCAAAAGAGCTTGGAGTTGATCAGACCCAGACTGATTGTTGAGAATGTAAGCCAGAACGGAGCGCGATCCCAAGTGAACAGTGCCTTTGCCCAGAGTATTCGCAGCGTGGATGCCCTCGCGTTCCGGCGAGGCACACTTGGAACGGGAACTCGCATCGACACTCTGCACGCTTCCGGTCTCGGTGGACGTTGGGAGGCCGTCTTCCGCCCTCTCCAGCCCAACTCGAAGGGAGGAAATCGTAGACTCCATTTCTTGCAACCTATTCCGCACATTATCCCATTCCTCGCGGGCGATTGAAACACGACCACCACCTGTAGCCGGGACGCTCGGTCGGCTCAAGGTCGGCTCACGTTTCACTTCTGCTGGGGTTTCTGCAAAGAGATATGTTGTTGAATATTCAGGCAAGGGTACCGTTGATGCACTAGGGACAGCGCTATCCTGAAAGGCTTGCGATCGTTTTTTGGAAGGCCGTTCGTAAGAGCAAAGATCTGCGTGATCGCGCTTTACGCACCCGTCACACGGCAGATTGCGATCGCATTTTACTTTGCGCGCATGACATGGATAGCAGGCCTTGGGCTCACGAGCCTTGCGCTTTGTGCGGATGATCGCGTCAACCTGAGCCTGCGGCAAATCGGAGACTGCCCTGTTGGGCGCTGCAGCCATGTCGGAGGCAACGGAGGGCGAGAATGAAGTTGACGGTGGGTAAGGCGACGTCATTCTGGCTTGGAAAAGTTTATTTGATATGATATATCCTTGGTCGGTCTTGAAGTTGTCGTGAGTCAGCCTAGACAGCGGTGCTTCATTTGGTCATTGGTAGAATGGAGGTGGAGGATCGGAAGCAAGTTGACAGTCAGACGGTGATTTCAACACAGTAGCGACAGGTAAGGCTCCATGAGTTCATTATTTAGAGAAGAGCAGCATGTTAGGCAATGAAAGCTCGATTCGAAATTGCACGCGATTTGTTAAAGGAATCTGGGATTAAGCGCCGGGGCAACTACAGCGGCACGTGATGTGGGGGCGTCCAAATGCGCAATCAAGCCTTTGCAACATACGTCTGGTCTGCATTGGACATTTCAATACTCAACAGAAGATGGTAAAAGGAAGGATGCAATCTCTTATAAATATGGTTTGCTTTAACGTATATGAGGTTTTTGTTTGAACCACCTGCCTAACAGATCATGCGGTTAGGCCTAACACCTATTTACATAGTTCAACTGACTCATTGCTTGCCCTTTAAGAGTCGGTAATCATTCTTCCTCTCATTCTAGTCACGCAACTAGCCATGCAGAATTCAATCCTATCACAGTTCACTTGTTGTCAATGTAGGAGATTGTGGAAGGTCTGAGCATCCACAGGCCTCCGAATTTCCTTGTCTGTCGAATGAGGCTAAAAAAACAGAAATGCCTTGATTAAAGGCAGTGTGATCAATTATATCGCAAAGTTCTGAGATAACGATGATCTTTTTGCTCGATTCTGCTGCCCGGGGCAATTTTCCACGTAAGACGGATGGGGTCTGAACAAGCCCCAGGGCGTCCACGAGGCATCAGAGAGATCTGCCCGCCTGGATCCAGGGGTACTGCTCCGAGAAGCAGAGACGGACGCCTTTGAGAATTGCCTGTGTCGGGTATGTGTTCAACGAGGTCAGGTTGTGTTTTAGCAATCCACAATATGTCATCGTCGTGCGCAGCTGACACTGTGTATAGCAGTTGCCGTAGCTATGAGCGGTCCAATCTGTGATCAGTTCTACCACACCAACCTCGAGATACCTGAGCTTAGACCCTAGCCCATCTCTTCATCCACCTTCTCTCATTCTCCAGTTTAGTAACTTCAAGTTCAACCACTGGGCTAATCATTCTGCGACCATCGGCCAAGGTTGATGAATTTAGCCCCACGACTGTGGGTTCCACGGTTGAAATTCCCATTATATTTTGAGCATCACCCTCAAATACCGACATCACGCTTGCCCCGGTACCGTGAAGGAAGTCGAGCTCTGCGTACCACCCTGAACCAGGAAACGAATGGCAACTTCGTACTATGAACAAATTAGAATGGATCAAACGGGGGTCTTTGAAGAACATACACTGCGAATAAAGTCTCCATTGGGCGGGTAGGCTCCACGTAACTCAACGGCAGCTAGTGAGTGTGTAGGTCCGGACACAACCAGCTATATGTGGAACTTTTGCATCTTTGTGAATGTCTGTTTAACAGATTTTAAGGGCAACTCACTCCTTGCATCCAAAATCCGGTTTTGCCAGAATGGTGCGCATTGAAGACTTCGAATTCATCCCAACTGAACGGCCTCGGCTCACACAATTGCACGTCTTCAAACCAATGGGTGATCAAACCTGCGTTCCAATCAAGCATTTCTCAGCGGTAGGCCTGCAGCAATGCCAGGATATTAGGGAGCTGATTGAAGTTGTCCGAGCCTTGTAGCTTAATTTTCAGGTCTCTCAAATTTTCCAAGCGTGTTAGGATATTCAAACTATGGTTCCCAGGTTCCGATTCAGCCAGTTCACCGCGGGACATTCAATCAGCAACTCCTCTATTAAGAGCACTAGTTTATCTTACTTTTGTTTGGCCTCTGAAATTTGCTGTCCCTTTAGCCGATGTGCAAATATGTGAGGCATAATATTCTCTTTGATTCTCACATGGCATCTATCAATTTGTGCATCGATGTTACTACGCCAGATGTGTTAGTAGGTGGCCAAATGAGTGGTAGATGGACACAAATAGATGCACTAGCATTGTCAACTTACTCTCGGTCAATATCCCGGATGATTCAGTCATGCTCCAGCTGGGAGGCAGTCTTTCAGGATATATCAGGGGATTGGATTGTCGCGGCCATGGCCTCCTTTTCGCCTGTGCTGGTTCCGCTGGGGATTTGAATCAATCGACGTATGATGTAGTCAGATCCGGAAGCAGCACGTCAATTGCAAACTTTTCCTCTCTTGGAATATCGCTGGTCAAATCATTCGCAGACGGCACATACTTGACCTCGGCCGCTACTTCGCTAGCCTGTCCTTTTACGGTTCGGTGTTTGTTTGCCTTTGCTAAGCCGTCCGATGTCTTTCGGTGTTTCCTTCTCTGCGGTGCTGACACTTATGACATCAGTTCCGTCGGTAACCTTGATTTCGATTTTTGCCTTCCTCGCAGGCATGATTCTGGTGGGCGTGTCTGTAGCAACGTGGCGTTTTTTTTGGTGGTAGTCACTGTAATGGTGGACTCCATGGTGAACACGGAGAGCTTGATGTACACAGATTGTGGACAACTTTTGGCAATAATCTGACAAAACAATGGTTCAACATTTTAGAAATAGCGAAGATGTCATCCGGGCCATCGTCTCCCCAGACTAACGGACTAATTGTAGTACGTCAATAGGCAATTTTTTATACTGTCGAGTGGCTAGAAAATACACGGTTAAGTCGAACTCGACAGTTGATGTCCTTGCAACAAGTTTTCAAATGGACACAATAGATGTAGAATTTCTTGTGGTCCAAGGACAAATGAAGTGGGGGCCTGAGGCGGGACGGAATATTCCCAGCCCCGGCTGACCAATGGAGAGTGACGTACCTAGGTACCGCCCGGGTAGCTGCCAGTGTTTACGTCTGTCATCCAACTCAGCTTCGTTGACGCTAACATTATTTTGCTTCCCCGTAGCAAAGATTAACGCTTGATTTTGCTACCAGGCCTTCCTTTGCTTTCTCTCCCAGTCTCCCCTCCAATTTTCAACACCGAAGCCCGCCAACCAAGCTCAACCATGGAGGGAAATCCCGCTGAGCATGATGAGGCTGTATCTCAATTCTGTACTATGACTGGAACCCAGGCTTCAGAGGTAAATTACTTGCTAAAATTAAAATTATTACTGTCGCTAAATTTCAGTCTGTGATTGTTTAGGCCCAGGAATATCTTGCTGCCAATGGGTGGGACATCGAAGCTGCCGTAACAGAGTTCTTTGCAGAGCAGGATGAAGCCTTACAGGACACCACCACTGGTGGTGAGCAGCAAATAGGCACAGAGGGTAGTTCTCGAGCTTCTGGGGGTAGGACTCTCGGGGGAGGTACCGTACCGGCTTCATCATCCACCGCAGTTTCATCCTCATCATCCGCCCGACGAGCTGCGCCCAAGAAGAAGTTTGCAACGCTGGGAGACTTTGCTTCTGGGGGAGGTGGCGGCGGTGGCGATTCATCCGATGGTGATGACACGGATGATCATGATTTCTTTGCAGGTGGTGAAAAGTCCGGACTAGCTGTGCAGAACCCGGATGATTTGAAAAAGAAGATCCTTGAAAAGGCCCGCAGGTATGTTTTTCAGCGATTTCAGATGATATTGAAGATATCTAACATTTGAACGTAAACAGGGCACAGCCTCCTCCACCCGACGCCCCTCAGCCAAGGGAATCATATTTCACCGGCACTGCCCGCACACTCGGCGGTGACGATACACCAAGTCAGGTGATTGAAAGTCCCTCGGCGCCCAGTCAACAGCGTTCCTTGCGTGTTCAACGGACTCTTCATTTCTGGGCTGATGGATTTTCTGTTGATGACGGTGAACTGTTTCGGTCAGACGACCCGCGCAATGCAGAGATCCTAGACGGTATCCGCCAAGGCCGCGCTCCTCTTTCCATCATGAATGTTCAACCTGGGCAGGAGGTCGATGTGGAACTCAAGCAACATGAAGAGAAGTACACCAAGCCCAAGCCCAAGTACAAGCCTTTCGCGGGCTCTGGACAGCGCCTCGGTAGCCCGACACCCGGCGTACGGAGTCAGGCCCCCACACCTTCGTCCTCTACAGCTATGTCATCTGCCCAGGAGCCAGCAAAGCCCAAGGTGGACGAGTCGCAACCCACAGTTACTCTCCAAATCCGCCTAGGAGACGGTGCACGTTTAACCTCCCGGTTTAACACCACTGCCACCATTGGCGATGTATATGCGTTCGTTGCTGCTGCTACGCCGGATGGTGCAAACCGTGCATGGGTCTTGATGACAACTTTCCCTAGCACGGAGCTCAATGACTGGAGTGTCGTTCTCGGCGACATTCCCGATTTCAAACGTGGAGGTGTTGTTGTCCAGAAGTGGCATTAAAATGCACTTCTTAAATTGTTACCCGTCTTGAGGGTTTCCTCTTCGGAGTGGTTCCAAATGCGGATTTCAGCAACGCAGTAGGTTTGCATGAGTGAATGTTACATGACATATCTGATACCGAAGGAAGACCTTTATATTGCTATGTAGGGCAATGGCATTTGCCAAATTCAAAATAAGTGACTAATCAGATCCTTCATATTCCAAGATTGTCATGCCAGCATATTCCAAGTAGACTGAAGGTTAGTCAGAAGGCGATTGATAAGCGCCCGAATATCGGCATCCCCACTTTTGAAATCCATCATTGCGCTCTCAGTTGCTACAACCTTTCTTTTCTCCAATTCAAGCATACACCATACCAAAATGCCTCTCATTGGAGTGAAGAATGTTGTGCTGGTACGTGCGCATTCGTTTCCTTTGCGAGTCCTCGGCGCGAAAAAAAACCCCGAAAGCCATGCCCCTCATAGCTTATCGATAACGAGGGCACTGCTCGAAGCCATGAGTTACAATGTTCAAGCGCAAATTGCTGCACAAGACTTACAAGATGTTTTTGAGTATTAGGTCCTTTCCGGAAAAGGAGGCGTGGGGAAATCTTCCGTCACACTCCAGCTCGCGCTTGCGCTCTCGCTCCAAGGCAAATCTGTCGGAATCCTTGACATCGACCTGACCGGGCCTTCAATGCCACGCCTCGTCGGACTTGAAGATGCAAAGATCACACAAGCGCCAGGCGGATGGATGCCGGTATCAGTTCATGGGGCCGAATTCGCCGCCGAAGCCGACACTTCAGCGCCCTCAACACAACTACACCGCGGCTCCCTTCGTTGCATGTCCCTGGGCTTCCTTCTCCGCGATCGGGGCGACGCTGTAATCTGGCGCGGACCAAAGAAAACGGCTATGATCCGCCAATTCCTCTCAGATGTTTTCTGGGGCCCGACTGATTACCTGCTAATCGACACGCCTCCCGGAACGAGTGACGAGCACATTGCGCTAGCTGAGCAGCTGCTCACCCTCTCCACCACAGATGCGGCGGCTGCTGCGCAAACAGACTTACCTCGACTTGCTGGTGCAGTCCTTGTTACAACGCCGCAGGCTGTGGCAACCTCTGACGTGCGCAAAGAGGCGAACTTCTGTGTTAAGACCAAGATTCCCGTGCTTGGAGTCATCGAGAATATGTCCGGGTATGCTTGCCCTTGTTGTGGGGAGGTTAGTAATCTGTTCTCTAGTGGAGGAGGACAGGTAATGGCCCAGGAATTAAGCCTTCCATTTATGGGCAGCGTGCCTATTGATGTGAAATTTGGAGAATTGGTGGAAGGAAAGATGGAGGCTGGGGATAGTGATGAGGACGAGGAGAGTCCAGAGAGTCAACCACAAGGTACTCCTGCTGAGCCTGATGATCGACCGCTCGTTGAACGATACCGGGATACCTGGTCTTATCCTCGATTTGAGGGATTTGCGCAGACCTTGATGAGCCGTATTGAGGGTCCGACTCCCATATAGCAGTATGGTGAACATGTGGCGTATTTGATTGTTTGTTTTCTAGCGACTTCTCCATTTTGTCTGCTTTTATTTGCATTGCGCTACAGGTGTTGGCCGTTTTTGAATGTCAAATCATTCCGTTGACGAATCAGTCAACACTTTGAGCCCTAGCGCGAATCGGCGTTTCCTTCGTAGCCTTGTTGTCTTCTTTCAAGAGATGTGATTCCTCCTGATTGCCGAGTTCCAAATCCCCAAGCTCGTTGGGCCCGTCCAGTCCTCCTCAGAAGCGAGCCCGCCATCAAAGCCAGCTAATTAACAGCGCCTCGCCCCAAAGTAGGTACTAGCGCACAGAGCCATTTTGAAAGGGAATTTGGGTCAGCTAGAGATGAAAATGTAAATAAGGCTGTACAGGGATCTGGCGGCCAAGTGCGAGCCAGTAAAAACGACGCAGACAAGCAAACCGTCTCTTCCAGTGCAGAATCTTCCATGCCCTCACGAGAGACAACACCTAAGCCCAGTCCTGTACACGTGGGGGGTGACGAAGAGAAGATCACACCGGAGCCTAAGCCACGGAAGAAGCATCTTGAACCAATTGAGCACTTCATCGACCCCTGTCAGAGAGCTACCCTGAACCAATCTTCAGAAGGCCTACGGTAGGTCAAAATGGGGTATGTTCCCCTCAGGACGTGACACGCGATGCGGTTCCATACGACTTCCCTAAGCTGCGAGTAATCCATGCAATTGCCCACCAATTTGACGAGCGCGTCGAGCATCTCTGGACATACTACCGGGTCGTATCGGCTATGATGATGTCGATTACACACGGTTCAAATAATGTTACTACTGCCGTTGAGCCCTGGGATGCTGTGCACGTTCCACGCTGGCTTTGTCGGGACTAAGGCACTTCCCCCGGTCTGGTTTTTGATTGTTGCTGGTTTGTTACTCGGTCTTGGATTCTGGTTTTATGGTTACCACATCATTCGTGCTATTGGAAACAAGATCACGCAGATTTCGCAAAATCGTGGCTTCAGTATTGAGCTTGGAGCAGCTATCACCGTCGTACTGACTTCAAGACATGGTGTGCCCGACGACGCAGTGCTTGACTGGAACTACTATGGGCATCGTTCTCATGAACCATGAGCTTGGCGCCGTCAGTTGGAAGCAGCTTGGCTTCATCTTTGGTAGGTGGATCTTGGCATTGCCTTGCGCGGGTTTGATTTCGGGACCGGTTTGTAAAACGGCATTGAAAGCTGCTTATTTGTAGACAAACACATGGGATCCTGGCATTGTTAGCCTTTGTTTTGGCCTAGAAGAGAGCTTGCTGTAATTAACATTTGTGTCATTCTAAGAAATTCTCAATGCCGAGAAACTAAACCCGAAAATGTAAGAAACCAAGTATATCCGAGGAAAGAAAGACCACTTATCGCCGGTCAAATTCTGCTCTGTGCATAGGCGTTATGAAATCTTAAATCGTCATGATCCAGTCGAACGACGGGTATCCTTATAAACATAAAACAGAGTATGATCCTCTATTTGGTGCGCTTGTAGATCTTGCCAAGGAAAGCCTCAAAGACTTCCTTCTTCAGACCCTTAGACTCATCAACGGCAGCAATCTTCTCACGGAGCTCGGTAACAACCTTCTCCTCGTACTCCTTGTATACCTTCTCCAGCTGAAGCTCGTTGAAGAGGGCTTTGACCTTGGCCTCCTCGGCAGCGTCCTTGCGGCCATAAGAAGCATCCAGGAGCTGGCGCTGCTCGGGAGTGCAGCGCTGGATGGCCTGGTTAACGAGCCAAGAGCACTTGTTGTCCTGAATATCGGTACCGATCTTGCCAATGACAGATGGGTCACCGAAGTTGTCGAGGTAGTCATCCTGGATCTGGAAGTATTGGCCCAGAGGAATGAGGATGTCGTGGGCCTGCTTGAGGTTTTCCTCGGTAGCCAGCTGAAGGTACATAAGGGCCAGAGCGACAGGCAGGTAGAAGCTGTAGTAAGCTGTCTTGTAGGTGACGATGAACATGTACTTCTCCATGGAGAAATTGTCGAGGTTGACGTTGTCCTCGGGGGCGGTGATGAGGTCACAAAGCTGACCCAGCTCAGTCTGCCAGGAGGTCTCGTGGAAGAGCTCGACGATGTCAATGTAGGCGGGGTGCGAGCGGAAACGCTGCTTGAGGATGAGGTAGATAGCCGCCTCCAGCATGAAGGAGTCGTTGATGGCGATCTGGCCGACACCTTCATGACGGTACCAGCAGGGTTTGCCACGACGGGTGATAGAGGAGTCCATCATATCATCACTGACCAGGAAGAAAGCTTGGAGCAACTCAGTCATCCAGCCCAGGATGCTGAGGTGCTCGAATTGCTCCTCGGTCAGGGGCTGCTTCAGGAGAGCAAGGCCGGTGTCAGGGACCGAGAGACCACGGTTAAGCTTACCGCCGGGAACATTGACGTTGAGAGACTATGTGGCACAATTGATAGTGTCAGTCATGATCGTTCAACAACCAATCAAGAAGTGTTGCTCACCTTCTCGAACCACTCAAGTGCATTGTCAGGGAGATTGTAGCGCTTTGCATGGGCAAGGATGTCCTGGACTAATCCAGGGAAAATAGCCTCGAAGTCGGCGCGCTTGGTAGTAGAAGCCATAATGACGAAGTGTGAGGTAAAATTGTCAACGATCTAACAAGAACGAAAACATTCCCAACTGTTTAGAAATGGGCCACTTCCCCGCGGAGGGACAGTTTGCTGTGTTTGTTCTGTTTGCTGTGTTTGGTCTCGAGTTGCCAGGCCCAACGCGAGGACGTCGTGGATTTTTGAATGCCATTGAACGATCTTCACTTTGTTTCACAATCTGCGAGCACAAGAGCCTGCTAGGAATTTTCCTGGCCTTTCTTGAAGGTCTTCCCAGTTACGTGGGTTGCTGTTCCATCCGTATCAACAACGCGGCGAGGGCAAAGATCATTTATTTACACGACCGGACCGCTGCGGTGGTGAGCTTCCGTCAACTAAAACAAGCATGAGATCGAATTGTCGCAAATCGTCTCGATATACTAAAAGCTCCATCAACACCACAAAGCTGTATTTGCACTTTCTGTTTCGGAAATTCCCCGCCTACTTGTGACCAAGGCACACAGGGGATGGTAGAACCTACAGATGATGGAATACGGGAGCTCATGTACCAACTGGAAAATGCTGCAACTAAATGCTCTGAGCGATGCCTTTATCAATCTTCAAAATGGTACAACTAATAAACCTGATTCAAACAGGCCTGGCATGCTAATGATGTTGATGAAAACAGGGCCGCTGAAATGCTCGATTCCCTCCGGCCTTTAGATCATGAAAACACTGACCTCGAGTCTCCGATGGAGATTTTAGATACTCCTCCTTCGGCAATAAATCCCTACCTCGGACAGCGCGATCCAGTAGAAGCAACCCTTGAAATCCAAGAGTCCTACAAATACCTGCTTGCCAAATCCTACTTCGACACCCGTGAATATGACCGATGTGCGGCCGTATTCCTCCCTCCGACAACACCACCCGTTCCTATGTCAATAACCTCGCCCAACTCCAAACCGAGGCCATCACGAACTTCATGCAACGGCAAGGACAAAACCTCACCGTTTCAAAGCCCAAAGAACCAAAAGGCTCAAATACAGCAAAATCCATATCCAAAACTAAGTCAGAAATCGCTATTCCTTGCCCTATACGCGAAATTTTTAGCCGGAGAGAAGCGCAAGGAAGAGGAAACCGAGATGGTGCTAGGTCCAGCAGATGGTGGGATGGCGGTCAACCGAGAGTTGTCCGGTCTCGCTAGAGGTTTAGATGGATGGCTATCCGAACGAACTGCACAGGGACTAGATGGTCGAGGACAGGGGTGGTTGGAGTATCTCTATGCTGTGGTCTTGTTAAAAGGACGGAATGAGGAGCTGGCGAAGAAATGGCTGATCCGCTGTGTGCATCAAAACCCGTACCATTGGGGTGCCTGGCAGGAACTGAATGACCTCTTAGGCAGCACAGAAGACGTAAGTTTTTTTTCATCAAGATTTCCTCTCATCGGTGCTAATCTTACCAGTTAAAACAAATCCTCGAACTTCTGCCGCAAAACGTCATGAGCTTAATATTCTACGTCTACTGCAGCCAGGAGCTGTACCAGGCCACAGAAGACACATACAGGTCACTCTCCGAGCTACAGTCAATGTTCCCAGAAAGCGCATTCCTCAAAACACAGCACGCATTGTTGTTATATCACTCCAAAGGTAAAACTACCCCGCTTCCGGCGCAAGGCGTGGTTTATATGCGTGATCTAACATCATACAGACTTCGAGGAAGCGGCCCAAATTTTTGAAGGCATTCTGGCCACATCCCCCCACCGCTTAGACAGCCTAGATCATTATTCGAACATCCTTTACGTGATGGACCAGCGCCCTCAACTTGCGTTTGTCGCTCAGGTCGCAACCGCCACAGACAAGTTCCGCCCAGAAACCTGCTGTGTTGTCGGTAACTACTATTCATTGAAATCCGAGCATGAGAAGGCAGTAATGTACTTTCGACGTGCACTCACGCTCGACCGGAACTTCTTGTCTGCATGGACCCTCATGGGCCATGAATACATCGAGATGAAGAATACACACACCGCCATCGAGTCATACCGCCGGGCAGTCGATGTGAATCGCAAGGACTACCGTGCCTGGTACGGTCTCGGACAGGCCTACGAAGTCTTAGATATGTCTTTCTACGCCCTGTTTTACTACCAACGTGCCGCAGCACTCCGTCCGTATGATCCAAAGATGTGGCAAGCAGTCGGATCGTGCTACGCAAAGATGGGCCGAGTGGAACAGAGTATTCAAGCTCTGAAGCGTGCATTGGTGGCTGGATCATTACAGTCAGATGACAGCGGGCAGTCGGGTACTGGCGCAAGCCCTGGCTCTGGGAGTCGCAAGATCCTTGACCCAGAAACACTGCACCAAATCGCGACACTGTATGAGCGTCTTGGAGACGAAGAGGAGGCCGCTGCATACATGGAACTTACTCTCCAACAGGAGTCTGGCGCTCCTGTCAATGAAAGCCCGGACGATGGCGAGTCTTCTGCCTCGGACAATGGCCTTGAAAGCGATGCCGAGATTGAACATTCCGGAGACGAAGACACCGATCTGTCTCAACGAAATCGTCATAGTCGCAAGACTCGCGCTAAGGCTGAATCACTTGCTATGCAAAACGATGACTCCATCGTCAGCGAGACGTGGAACGGTACCGGTGTCACAGCAACTACATCCAAGGCACGATTATGGTTGGCACAGTATGCGTCACGGAACGGTGATCTTGACCGTGCGGACCAGCTAGCGAGCGAGTTGTGCCAGGATGGAATTGAGGTAGAGGAGGCCAAGGCGTTGATGAGGGACGTTCGGGCTAGAAGGGAGGGTGCGACATGATTACACCGGTTTAATGGGATTTGTATGTATCATCATGACAGCGAAAAAGGCATAGATTTTACCGATCTGTATGAATAACAGCTACGATTGGAGCACTGGTCACCTCGCAGAAGCTAGGCCAGCATTTTGGGTGGCTGTTTCTATATAAATGGTGTTCACGTCCAGCACAATTGCCATTCGTGTAAAATCAAAACGGTATCAATTATGCATAACATGAGCTAGAGGTTCGATTGAGATATACTCGCCCAGCACAGCAATGGCTGTTTCGTCAAAGGTCATCTCAATCCATGGGGTCCTTGGTCCAGAGTTCGGGGGCTGTGCCGTCTCCTTAGTCGTGTCATGAAGATTGCGATTCGATTCAGAGCGGAGATGCTCTCTTCCGATTGATGTTTCATCAGATCGCTTGATAAGATTCCATGAAAGACAGCCATAGAAATGATCACGTCCAATGTCTTTCCACGTCTCACGCAAGCAAAAGCGAATATCATCGGGATTAAGATCACATTCCACCATGCTCGAGCCTAAAAAGAAGATGCTTCCCATGGAGGGGAGTGGACTTGTTCCAGAATGGACGAAGCTGGAAAGGGTGGTAGCGAGGCGGTGCATTTCTTCACCTAGTTGACTTGCTTTGGGATCAAACAGGACAATTCCAAACACTGTCCCTTGTGACGTAGCATAGGGGTTTGATTGTTGTAGGGAAGAAGCAGATTTATCCGAGCAGAGACACCGAATAAATTCGTTCAAATCACGGGATTCGCAATCATTGCTAGGCGTTTTGTCAGTTTCGGGAAGTGTAAAGCTTCCCAGTGAGGTTTTAGGTGTCCAAATGGGGATAGTTGTCAAAGGAGATCTAGGTGACACCTTGCATTTCTGCCTGGGTGATTTGGGCACCAATTGCTTGTCCGAAAGCTGTTCCTGTGCGTCGTGTAATTCTCGAGAGTGCTCTTCGTGTGCAGAAATCAAGCTGGTTGTCCGCATGGGATATATTAGCACTGAAGATTCCTGCGATGCAATCTGTCCATCCTTCTGGCTGGAGTGCTGATGAGACGATGGGCTTTTGCTTTCCACGAGCATACTCGTCCCGAGAACAGGATTTTTATCCTCAGTGTGTATTAATATCTCATCGATGTAGACTAGAGGGGATAATGGACGGTCATTGTATGACTGGTCATGACTGTCTTTCTTTATCGAATCTTCACGCATCCTATCCATTGATAAACATATGTCCATAAAGCTTTCTCCAGAAGTAGTGGTGGCTTGCGGAACCTGGGATGACGCGGAATTCGTCTCCTCATCGGTGTCTGAACAAGTCGCTTCTGGGCTTGGAGATCGCACAACAGATTGATCAAGTCCACTCCCAACCTTCAGGCGTTTTGACCATCTCTCGCGTTCTTCTAGTTCATCTGCTGGCACAGCACGGGCATGTTCTGCTGCAGTCAACAGTTCATGGAAAGAGGTACACTCTTCCAGCGTTCGGTCCAAGTGTATCTTCAAAATTCGAGGAAATCGAAGTGTGAAGTATCTTGCACCAGATGGTTTTTCAAATCCACTGCCCAACATCTCGACGACAAATGGGCGCTTAAACAGGGTGGTTGCAGTGGGAAGGGCTTCGTGCCCATACTCGATGTGAAAGCCTTCGAACGTCTCAGGTTCACATGCATAGAACTCGCCGGTTTGATTGAGGGTTTGCATGGTGCGAATGCTCATGCAATGTCGGCTAATCACATCGACGACTCGGAAACGCGGCAATGCGTTGCCGCCTTTAACATGCTCTGGGTTGAGAAGACAACCAACAAGAAAGTGAGTCCATTTCAGTCCTTTTATTTGACCCAGATCAGGAGCGTCCCGCGCGTTATAGCTAGCTCCGACCAACGCAAGGTCTAAAGTGTCTCCAAGGCCGGGTATATAATCTTTCTTGAGTTTAATCCATCGGCCAAACATATGATCCACACCAGTGCAGTACAATGGAAAATAAGGCTCGTCAGAAGCCTTCAAGACATATCCCTCCCAACGTTTAGCAATTGCTTTTTCGAAACTCTTTTCGAGCCGATGATAGCTATCAACTCGGTTGAAGTCCAAAACTTCCTGATAGGCGAGCTCCGCTCGGCCCGGGATGGTCTTCACCACCTTCTGTAAAAGGAGTCGTCTTTCCCGATGAGGCTTGGCAAGGCATACGTCGTCATCAAGAAGAAGAATGTCAAAGAACATGATCATCAGGTGCTCGTACGGTTGCGGCCTATATCAATCAGCTTGAAGATCCGCAATGTCAAAGGGATAGTCATTTACGGAGAATCATTATCAACGCCAATCATGATGCCAGATCGCGGAAGGAACCTCCGAATTTTGTTAAAGTCCATCAGTTTACGATCCTGGTCATTCCATACAAGCAGTTCTCCTTCAACGATACAGCGGTGAGCAAATTTGCAGTCAGGCAATCCGGTACGGAGCGATTCTTCTATTACAGGAATGACCTTGTCTTTATCTGCGGTTGAGTCCTTGCCACTTTTGGAGAAGATCTGAATGGGGGTGAGTCTGTTAGAGAGATCCACGTGGATCTGACAATATTCACCATCGTATTTACGTTCGATACTCATTCGACGACCGTTGGCCATTTGGTGACAATGTTTGATACTCCGGGCTTTGTAATAATCAGGTCGTCCCACCTTAATACCAGGACGAGGGCACATGTGCCGTAGAGCAATAGTGGTAAGTCTTCTGGCTGATTGAGGATCCGGGTTTGCGGGAAAGTGGCTTATTGGATCGGAAGTAAGCATCTCTAACGCCCCTTCGAAAGAATTCTGAAGCTGAAGCAGTTGTGGCAGAAGAAAGTGAAATTTCTTCAGGATATACTGTTCTGGAAAAACGATCGGAGAATAGCTTTTGAGAATCATGCGAGTGAGCCATTTGGCGTCGCGGCTGCTTGATCGACGGTACAGTTTTGATAGAATTTCTTCAAGGTCCACAGCTGTACGATTCCGACGGACCAGTGGACCAGAGAAGCGGCAGCGTGATGCAATCATAGCCATGGCGCGATCGATTTCTTCTACCGACAGCTCCTGTCCCGCCGGAATGTAATTCTCGGCTTGCCGCATGACGATTTCGACACAACCTCCGAGATCAAGGCCACCGGGACTTTGCCATCGATTTAATTCGGAAAGTCGAGACGATCCCAATCCTAAGCAGCGCCCGATGACTCTTGACAGTTGCATGGCTTGCAACCAGTATACTCGATCTGTTCGTTTTTCGGGGAACATGCACGATAGCAACGCCACAAGATCTGTATCGGCATGATAAATAGTCCGTTCATGTTGAGAGAACCACTGGGCGACTGTTCTAATGTCCGGGTTTTGGTTCCTGGCCGCCGTGGATGCCTTAGCCGTTTTGCTGTCCTCCACGTTGGACAGCAAATCACACAAGAAAGTGAATTTGAAGCCCATATCTACACGAGTAACTCAGTAACTCGACATAGAATCGTGGAATAATCTCAGGTATAGTCAAATTGGTCAAAACTCGAGACTCTCAAGGTCGAGACTTTCCCGTCTGAACGCGAAAAGAGATGACACGGTAACACGTGACCACTTTAGCCCCATGTGTATAGCGAACTATTTAGTGTAAATTGGGACTACAATGGAAAGACACGTTAATCCTCGTCATTCTGAGAAAAAACCGATACCTTCGAAAGCCTAAATTCAGAGGAATTATATGAAGTAGCTAACGAAAAACCAGTGGTGACCCAGGCGGTCAGAATTTCTATGATACATGCGGCTGGAGACAGCCGGACTACGAGAGCCCATGGTAAATCGGACAATGAGTTTTTATTCGTAACTGTAATTTTTGTGGCAGAAATAACAGGATTGAGCCCATGGGCTAGATCAAAACTGAAAGTGAGTTTAAAGACTATGAATTCGCCGAACACCGAGCCATTTGCATAAAATCAAGTACGCCAGATGGGGGGGAAAATGGAGAATCATGAAGCCGAAGCCATCTCCCTTTAAAGAATACCCTGCTTTTGTAGATCCAAGTAGATCCTTTCGGGCATAACGTTGCCCTCTGCATCCTCCATTTGAACGACGTTATCGCGTGAATCTCTTTCCTTCTTCCGATCCCTCTCAAGTTGCTCCCAAAGCGCCATGGCCTCATTAATACTAGTGATCTCACGGAAGAGATTGGTGTTGGAGGTAATGCCAAGGCACTTCAGTCCGTGGATGTGGAGGTTTTCAGAGAAATGTTTGTCAAATGCTCGTCGACCCATGTATGTGTAGTTTCCGCAAATCTCGCACTGGTACTCGACGCCAAGTCCATGGAGCTTGTAGAGCCAGAATGGAATAGGTTTTCCATCCCATGCCAGTGGCAACTTCAATGGGTTGTAAATGATCTCCTCGTCCTCTTCCTCCGATTCTTCGCCGACGCGAGGCTCGGGGCCTGTGTGATCGAGACCAGCCTGCACGGCTTCCCACTCCATTTGACGTTCCCGTTCGGTCATACCCTGTCGGCGCTCAACGTTGATTCTTGTGGCTTGTCGCTCCTCGCGCAGGACATTCGTCAGGGATCGAATTTGGTGTTCACGTCGTGCAACTGCACGCTCCTTCAGGCTGTGAGCCGAAGACTTGCCTTGGGATGCAGATGACTTCTCGTCGGGTGTGCCTGCTGCTTTGCGGGCTTCTGCCGCTCGAATATGTTTCTTGCCGGTCAAATGGCTCCGATGTACGTTCTCATTCTTGAATTCCTTTTCGCAATCTGCGCACCAAATACCCTCGCCGGTCCCTTGGGTGGCTGGGCCAGACGTACCATTCTCGAGCTTTTCTTCTGTCCAGCCCGGAACCTCCTTCGCAGCCCATTGCTTCTCGAATTCCTGGTCAAAGCTGGCAAAAAGCTCGTTCAAGGGTTGCAGTGGCTGAACTCTCTTGATGAAACTTTCGAGATAGCTAGCAAGCTCGCCAACGTAGCTGAAGTAACGATCCGAGATTTTGTCCTTCCGTTTAATTGGCATGGCTGGCGGTGTGAAGGAGTCGAAGATGTCGAGATATTGAACGTAAGATAGGCGCTTAACTCCAGGGAGATTGAGATAATCTTCATGAAGACTTGTGAGATCCAGGTACTGTCCAAACCCTTCTTCGCCAGTGAACATATTATCGATTGCGGTGCGGGGAGCCTCTCCTTCGGCAGTCTGACGGCGGTTGTATGCTTGTTCGAGATTCTCGATTGGTTCGTTCGGGTAACGCTTGTGGTGCTCTTTGATTTGCCCCAACTGCTTATAGAACTCATCAAATTGGTCGCCCGTTGAGATAGACTGCACTTCCTTCTCCCGCAATCCATCGGCATCTTGGTAGATCTCCAAGAGTCGCTTGGACTGACTCTCGATTCTGTCTAAGAATTGAGCGACTTCATGGTCGCGAGCCAGACGGCCTCGGGCCTAAAAATTTAGCATATTAAAAAACGTGACTGACATTGTTCAGTGGTATGCTCACATTTCGAGGCTCTTCCGCCACGCGATCAGCGATAGCCTGTTCCAGCCGCTCTAAATCCTCGTGGATGAACCTTTGATCTTCGAGCAACATATTTTCAATATGTCTGCTACGCAAGAGCTTCTTTTGATCGGCGCGCAAAGAGTGTTGATAAAGTCTTGTGGCGATCGCGAAGGACGTTTGCAATCGGAAGCTCCAACTTGCGGGAAGGTCATGTGACCTGAACCTTTCCACCGCGAAAAGTTGGGCCGGTTGACCTCACTGACATCCTGAAGGTTTCACTCTTGAATCCAGATATCATTTAGTTTCTGCGGTTGAAATACCAAGACTTATATCATGGCGGACGGAATCGACAGACGCGCCGAGGGTATGTGGTTTCGACCTTGGGTCAACATGAAGCTTGCTAACACCAACTAGAGCGCATGGAGTTCAGCACCTCCAAGGAGGTGACGGTCGCGCCGACTTTCGAGGATATGCACTTAAAGGAGAGCCTGCTTCGCGGAATTTACGCCTACGGATACGAGTCTCCTTCAGCTGTGCAATCCCGTGCGATTGTTCAAATCTGCAAAGGTCGCGACACTATTGCCCAGGCTCAGTCCGGTACTGGTAAAACTGCTACATTCGCGATCAGTACCTTGCAGATCATTGATACTGTTGTGCGCGAGACCCAAGGTATGAAGTTCCCGGTTCAATCTGACCAGATCAAGGTCTAATCACCATCCGGGTTGCAACAGCTCTCGTTCTGTCCCCGACTCGCGAACTCGCAACCCAAATTCAATCCGTCGTTATGGCCCTTGGCGATTATATGAACGTCCAGTGCCACGCTTGTATTGGAGGAACCAACGTTGGCGAAGATATCCGCAAACTTGACTACGGCCAACACGTTGTCTCGGGAACTCCTGGTCGTGTGGCGGATATGATCCGTCGCCGAAACCTGCGCACACGTCACATCAAGATGCTCGTTCTCGATGAGGCCGATGAGCTCCTTAACCGCGGTTTCCGCGAGCAGATTTACGATGTTTACCGTTACCTGCCCCCCGCGACGCAGGTCGTCGTGGTCTCTGCCACTCTCCCATACGACGTCCTGGACATGACCACAAAGTTCATGACTGACCCCGTCCGTGTTCTGGTCAAGCGTGACGAGTTGACATTGGAAGGTATCAAGCAATACTTCATTGCCGTTGAGAAGGAGGAATGGAAATTCGACACACTTTGCGATCTGTATGACACCTTGACCATCACCCAGGCCGTTATCTTCTGCAACACCCGCCGAAAGGTCGACTGGCTTACCGACAAGATGCGTGAGGCCAACTTCACCGTCTCTAGTATGCACGGCGAGATGCCTCAGAAGGAGCGTGATAGTATTATGCAAGACTTCCGTCAGGGAAATTCTCGTGTCCTCATTTCTACCGATGTCTGGGCCCGTGGTATCGATGTCCAGCAAGTCTCCCTGGTCATCAACTACGACTTGCCTACCAACCGTGAAAACTACATTCACCGTATTGGTCGATCTGGACGGTTCGGCCGCAAGGGTGTGGCCATCAACTTTGTCACCAGCGATGATGTCCGCATCCTTCGCGACATCGAGTTGTACTATTCGACCCAAATTGATGAGATGCCCATGAACGGTAAGCTACTTGGATTTGGTTTTTTTCTACAGACACACTAACGAGGTTATTCCAGTTGCGGATTTGCTTTCATAATCTCTACTACCCGGTATTGTGAGTGTGACATCTTTTCTCGCGCCAAAAGCGACTTGGCTTCATTCCTTCTGGGGTCTTCTGCAAGTTAAATGCGCCCGCATTGTTGATTGAGTATGACTCGGAATCCGGCACGATGGGGTTGAGGGAACTGCAAGGCCAGCTCTAGCGTGGAGGAAAGGGATAAAAACAGATTTCAGTAAGTCCAACTACCTCCATTCACCTAACATTCGTCGCTGATAATCCGAGGTAGTTTTCAAGAATGCCAACCGATTTGCACGCCCCAGGAGGTGTTTACGATTTTGCTTATTTCCAAAATTTCGGGCCTCCGGCCCAAGTAGCAGGGACTTTTTCTTTATGCTTGGAGTTTCTTCTTTTACTTTACTTTTTGACACTAGGAATCATGAATGATGGAATCAGTTTTACTTTCGTCCAGTGTGGCCCAACTTCTTGGTCTCACGTCTCCTCTATTCTGGAAACGTAAATCAAATCGACAGTGAGAAAAAAAAGGTGGAAATTGAGAGAGAGATGCCTACACTGAAGTTGGAGAGAGGGACATCTTTTCAATAACGCCTCAACGGGTCGGTTGTTCTATGGCTGCGCTAGTAGCTCCTACTAGATCAAAGCTCTACAGAGGAACGAGGAATCTGAAGAGTAGATCTGGTTTAATCAAAGAGACTTGCAACAAAACGTGAGAGATGAAAAGAAAGCCCCCCCTCCCCCCCCCCCCCCCCCCCAAACCCGCAGAACCAAACTTGGAACTGCACCAAAAAAAAAACGGAAAAGGACATATATACTCCTCAGAACCAGAAAAAAAGATATGGACCAACGCCAGCTTCCTGTATTGAAAGAAATAGACGCTAGTTGCGGAGAATAAACAGCATAAGGAGTGAAAGGGGGGCTCAAAAGATGCATATGCGCAAGACAGCATGATGAGGATATGATAGGCCGTTGGTGAGGGGAGAGAAGAACACAGACGAGAATTCAAGACGAACAAGCAAACATTGCAAGACAGCAAGTTTATCGTCTTTCAATCCAAAGCTTCGGGGATGTTCCCCCAATTGGATACGGGAAAACTAAATAGAGACAGGCAGTGAGCGCGAACTAAACTAGTGTTGGGGTAATCATCGTCGATGCGTAGTACACTGATATCAGAAAGTAAACGTTGTCCTCAATGCGCTAGTCCGCGTGAATCCATTCGAGGATATCCCGCTGCGTTGAACGGGTCCTACTTGACGGGATCGGTTGCTTTCTCGGGACCAGCTAGAAGTCTAGGTTAGCGGTAATATTCCATGTGAGACGGAGATGAGACGGAGATGAGACGGAGTCTTACATCCTTACTGCACTATCGTCGCCTGCCGATGCGAACATTCCTGGGTCTGCTGGGTTCCATGATATTGAGTTCACGCATCCAGAAATATGTCCCTCCAGAGTCTCTACGATGTTGCCGTTCTCTTTGTGCCAGATGTAGACTTTCGAGTCTGGGGATAGTTAGTAACGATATCAGAACTGGTATGGGGGGATATTCACCTTCACTTCCGCTGACGACAAAGTTCTCAGCTGCTCCTCCGAACGTGCTCCGAATCACGAACTCGCCTTGCTTCTGTCCCTTGAACTGACGAACAACCGCAGCAGTTTCCATGTCAACTAGCTGAATTTCACCCTCAGCCAGGCTTATAAGCACGTGCCGCGAGTCTTTGCTGATGGAAACTGAGGTTACATTGCTCGGCAATGGGAGACAATAGTCTTCTTCGTATGTAAGCATGTTGTACACATGAACCTTTGATACTGTGTCGGCAGCAACAAGACGTCGTCCGTCGGGGCTAATGGCACAGTCTTGTACACGGAATCCACCTTTCCACGTGTATAGAGGCTGGCCGCGCATGCTCCAGTGACGGAGCTGTGATTCAGCATCGAGAGAAGCTGTCACAAAAGACTCCCCATCTGCTGTCCAGGCAGCCGCAGTCACTGGTTGGCGGTGGTGGTTGATGGTGAGTAGACAACGGCCGCTCTAATCCATGCACAGCCAGAGTTAGCGTATGATGAAGGGTTTACATGAGATTGTCGAAATTATTACCTCAACGCTCCATACGCGCGCCTTCTTATCTTGCGAGCAAGTAATTAGTTTCGAATCATCTGGGCTCCAACTGGCGAACGCTACTCCGTCCTCATGTTCCGAAAGTCTGTGGAGAACACTGAAATCTGTTGTATTGTAGATGAGCACATTTTGGTCCTTGCCAGCAGTAACCAGCTTGGAACCATCGTGAGAAAACTCGCAATACCATACTTCATCAGAGTGGTGAGTCAAGTCAACAATGACGTCCAATGGGAAGTCATTTCGATCGCACATATGGTCAGAGTAGAGTGACGGAGGTTCGGCGGTATTATGGTAAAAGCAGTTGTTGATTTGAGTCCGCTTGACGTGATCTAGTAAGATGGCCAGGCGATGTTGCGGGATCATCACGGAAGGAGAGATGGATTCTGCGGCTGAATTAGCAAGCCGGTTACACCACAGACATGGGACATTCGATCGGGCTCACTTGACAACTCGCCAAGGAGTCGTTCACGAGACGAGCTAGCGGAGCCATCCCATCCCGGCTGGGCATGTAAGACATCGGCTGGGCACATAAGAAGACTAACAATAACAGCCGGTAAGCAAATAGTGTTCTAGAAGTGTTTTTTTTTTCATCGGCAATACCTTGATAGCGCATGTAGACGCTCCACATCGAAATTCAACGGGGTCAGTTCTTGGCGAAGGACGGTAAGAGCTGCAGTTAGATCACGCGCTTCGAGCAACTCGAGGAATTTCTGTTGTCGGAGATAGAATAGCATCTCGTTCCTATCGGCCTCCTCCGCTAATACCAAGGTATCGCCTTGTGGAGATTTCCTGTCGATCTGTTGTGAGCCGGAACTTTGAAACGAGTGAATCAAGATTCTCTCGGCTTCTGGCCATCTTCCCCCCAACACCGCGCTCCGGAACGTTGCAACCCCAGACGTTTCGAGTTCATAGCCGCTCTCCGAGCTTAACAGGGATGCCGACTCATTATAACCCAGCTCATGCAGACTCTGGATCAAAATCCGCGTCACCTCCTCCCGGTTGTGGCCATAGTAGGTAGAAGACTGGGATGGCCTTTTAGAGCCATTGGTGTGAGAGCTCCCGTTGGTCGCCGCTTGCCCATTCAGACTAGTTTTCCTCGACGGCGATGCAAGGGAGTCGTTCGAGGCGTCTACAAAGCCATTTTCTGTTGAAGTTCCGTCGGGACGCATGATTACCAGGCGCCTGCGCTTGGGGGAAGGAGGTCGGCCCTCCGGTCGGCCAAGAAGATGGCTGGGGTAATTCTGAGATGCAGTCTCACGTGCTATTCGTGGAAGGTATCCCGTCCTCGCCGAGGAGGGACCAAGGTTATCCGGACTACTCGACAGGCGGCGGCGACGGTTGGGCCGAGAGGTAGATGAACTGGGTGGTTGAGATGCGGTGGACAGGAACTCTGACGTTTGGGACCCGGGATTGCCTACCGAGGCGGGAGCTGTATTGATGGGTAAAGGGGGATCAGGGTGGTCGGAGGTGATCAAGGGCCGATGCGGTGCTGTATTATTATGAGCCAGTTCGACTATCTTTCTAGATCTGCCCAATCTCCTGGTTCTTTGGAAGAACCAGGTGAGCAGATCTCAAGCGGTGGCGGATAGTAATCGCCGGGAGTTCCTTTGAAAACAGGCGATGCAATTGTCACAGTTGTCAAATTGATGGTCACTAGCTTGGGCTAATAGTCACAGTTGTAACAAATGATCAAAGAGTTGTAGATCTTTAGATCGTCTTAGATCACGCGGTTGTAATGTTCTCCGCTTTGAGTTGGGAACTGGTCGTGGCTTATCGGGGAGAGAACGAGAGATAAAAGAGATCACCTCGGAAGGCAAGGAACGATCGATTTGTGAAGATGCAATGTTCAATATCAAATTTCAATTGTCAAATGCCAAAATTCAAATGGACATCTAAGGTGGAGGGGGGAAAAAATATCAAAGAAAGGATTGGGTTATTAAGTAGCCCAGGTAGCCTGGAAAAGGAACCCCGCGATCAACAGCGTCAACACCTTGACTACATATTGAAAGGGGGAATGCTCAAGGTCATCTAGTCTAAGCTACTTAGGTCGATTTCCTACTTGTAATTAGATTTAGATCTAACTTGATATGTTAAAAAAAAACCCTGGGAGTTCTAGCCGAAAATTGAATTTGGAGAGATATCGAAGTGTGTACTCTTTAAACAATTTCTACTTCGTGTCTCCTCCGTATTTGAATGAAGATAGATTAGAACTGTGAAATCAAGCTAGGACAGGTACGGTGACAAGTCAGTGTTGTGTCCCGTATTGTTCAAGAGCGTGGGCTCTGCGGCACATCACCCACCTTCGCTGGGACCTGGAAGGCGAGCAGCCCTTCGGGAAGCTCATTCTCCCATTCTACCCCATACCTAATGATCCGTAGCGACACCGGCCCCAGCTAGCCTTTGAGTTAGGGTACCACTCCAGCCGCACTGCCCCTGCACCAGATAGCCGTTCCACAACAGGATAGCCCAGCCCAGCATCACGATTAAACGGTAGAGGCCCTGGTGCATCGGGTACAGATTGTTGAGATGGAAGGTGAGGCGCACCTTCGTCGACCCTGTATCCCGAACACGCTCCACTTCATACGGCAGAGCCTGATAATTCGCGCTCCATCGAGAGATTGAGGCGCTATTTTAGATTGCGCATGCACCAGGAACAGCTGCCGTGACTTCTCGATCTGCCTCTGGACATCTGCCGAATCTGATAATCTTATCGATCTGAGCCGGCGCAAGGGGTGTGACTGCTTAATACGCGCCCAGCACATTCTCTACGTCCACTCGAACCCCATAGGTCAAAACCAAGCTCCGCTCATTGACCAGCGGAAACACGCTCGGGTCGACAGTACTTCGAACTACACTTTGACCGCCAATCTAACAACCCAGATTGCATGAGGGTCCGGAGGACCGGTAACACCGCACGTTGGAACTCACCAGCCAGCTCCCCCGTTCGAAGCGCGGTCACAGGATCAGACTGGCATACACAAGACCCAGTATTTACCACCTGGATAGATCTTTTCTGACACCATTCGTTGGCCTTGTCGCGCAGTTCCCGCCCGCACCAGGCCCAAGCCCGGTCACTCAGCAGGGGTTTCATCCCGATGCAGGTGGCGCTGTCTCGCCGCCAGCGCGCCACGACCACACCAGTGAAGACGTCGACATGCCAGTTCGGGAGATCAGTCCAACGATTCATTGCGGTAGTCATGGCCAGCTCATGTACCGTGACAGCGCCTGGCGGCACTCTTCGATGCCGTGGGCAAAGCGCGTATCGGAGGAGAGCTCATCATGCAGAATGGTACCACACCTGGGCACGCGGGCGGGCCTATCGCCATTGTCAGTATGAGAAGGATAAAATCATCCGTCTGAGGAGGGAAAAGAATCACTTCTGTTCACTGAAAGAAAATCGAGGGAGGTGAGATGATGAAATGATGAGATGATGAGATGAGGAAGTGGGGGATGGGAAGTGTGACTCAAAAGAGAAAGAGGAGGTCGTGTCTTGAGGCACTTCAGCCTTCGTCCCCGAGCCCACTGTGTTTAGTTTAAAATCCCTTTGGAAGTCAGTCTGTAGCATTTAATTAGCTCGACGGACCCACCATTCCGCGCAGTTAGTGGAGTTGTCCGGAGTAGTTAGCCCACGTCTCTATATGGTCGAGCAAGTCCGAGGGGGGTCGATCAGCCACAGAACAACCGCAGATGTCCCAGGTGAGTCGGATCGAGCATAGAAACAAACCGTACATCTTGTAAACATAAGAAGGAATCTTCTGATGGCAGAAAAAGCCCTAGTCGTCCTTTTTTCTTAAAAAGATTCTGCGAGCTATTACAAACGTCAGCAATGACAAAATGGTGAGGATGCGAGGGCGCATCAGGCACTGTCCGTGACCTGGCCATTACAGGGTGGGAAAATGATACGATACAGGTCACTATCTCAGCATCATCACCATGCTCCTCGCCGAACCATTGCGTTCGAGCAGATTCAAGCATTACACATAGATGCGCAAATCCTTCGTCAAGCAACATCGTCCTTCGCAGTTGGCTTCATATGACTTGGAAGTAGCAAATCGCCCGATCCTCAATCTCCGAGATCCTGCCGAACCGATAGACCTTTTGGTCGGTCACGCGTCGGTCAGAATGCAGCTTGTCAAAGATCACGTACTCGGTAAACTCTGCGTTATCTCTATGACGCATACTCTTCATCGATCACCACTTCCAACCCTTCGTACACAATGTGCATAGAATGGAGTTGTGTTTTTACCATACCACGTGACTTGATGGTTGACGACATGATGATGTCACTCGTCATACGGAAATATAAAAAACCCGCATCTAGTCCCCAAGGTCCTCTTCAATCTCACTTGCAGTTATCTCACAGGTCAATTTCGACACCTATTTTCAAGCTTGCCCCACACACGCCATACTTCATCATGGGCTGTGATTGCGGATCCACTTGCACCTGTACGGGGGGTGCCCAGAGCTGTTCTTGTGGTGACAAGTGTAACTGCAAGGGATGCGGAGTATGTGATATTTCCTCGTCATGTTTCAGATGCGCTAATTTCATTGGCTGGTGTCAGAAGTAAACTATTTCCCCGACTCTGTTCTTCCCAAGTGGATGATGAATCTGGGGGCGATTTGATGAATCAAATGAAGTTTTCGAGCCTCAACGAAAGGGACATTTTAGGGAGAGAACATTGTATTTTTTTTAATTGGAAATTTGTTGATGCCCAGCTTTGTCCCTGCCACGTAGACCTCATCGTTTCCCTTTCAACACTGCCTCGGAGGCTTTCAGCGCTCCCGTGATACTGAAACATACAAATGGCGATAACGCATACAGGATCTAGAGATAGATGTTATCAGTAAAATGTCCTTTTCCCAGTAAAAACGATCACTGCACACCGTCAAAGTCTTCGCAATCACCATCTTTTCCATCTCAGACGCCTGCGCTAATTCTGCCAACCCGGAAATCAACAGCGCAGGTGGACCAGCAGGCATCAGCATCATGCTAAACCAGAGCATCGGATCATCATCCAGAAAATGAGTCTGTTGAGCCAGTCCATAGATCAGGGAAACACTCAGCGCCGGCCAGACCACCAGGCGAACCATAAAGATTGTCGTAATAGCCTTGACAGGAATTTGGCCAGAATGCCCTTCTGCAACCATCCGCTCAAATGTGATTCCAAGCTTACAGCCAACCATAAAGATTTGCAAGGTTGTAAACAGCCCACCGATGTTACTGACACTTGCAGTCAGCCACGCATTGAAGATCCCACCCTCTTCCTCGTCAAAGAAGAATGCTCGGTGCAACGACGGGATCAGTCCCAGCACCGTGCCGAGAATTGTGCATATTATCGTCACATCGGTAAATGGGGACTCGAAGGGTGCGAGGAGTTCCTGCTTCACACGGTGCGGGAATAAGGAGCCCAGCCAGTGTGTCGATCGCCGTATCAGGTTCCCGGCTGATGTTCGGGCTTGTTGGGCGCGCGGCGGCAGGAGGGAGGTTTCCTCAGTGAGTTGCTCGTCCTCTGCCAGGATGCTTGCGGTACGCTGTCGCTCCTCGGCGCTCCTGAGATTATCTCCGCGATCTTGTAACATCTTCGGTCCGACGATGTATGCGATGGTCTTGCTGATCACACCGCAGACAAGGAAGTAACTCTGAGCACGGTCGATTGCAGATGCAGTGGTTTCACCATTGCGTAGGATTAGCTTCAGGCTTCCTACACTCTTGAGCGAGTGGAGAAGTAGCAATGGTAGAGATGTCGTGTTGTTAAAGGAGCAAGCTGGTGTTACCCATTGAGGTAGGCCCAGCAGACGCGATAAGAAGTGCCCAAGGCCGATCGATACCGATGTGTAGAGAACTGACCAGACTTCAAATGGTAGAGAGATGCGATGAGTCAGTAATGCCGGGTTCATCAAGGGTCGCCATGATTTACTTATGACTGGAACATAGTTCATCGCTGTCCCAAGATGAAGCTGCTCACCCAGATGCACGACGAGTAGTGCCGGTAAGAGAAGTTTCACGCCTAATCCCAACAGGTCATTTATTGTAGTCTCGTGGATTAGATTGAGTCGACGAGCAGCAAAGCCGTAGCACATAGTCAACAGGACGGATACACAGGCTTGCAGTGCGCCCAGGAAGGGTGTCACTAAGCCGTCGTTGGGCATTTTTGTTTCCAATCTCTGATGCTTTTAGCCATCTACGTTGTCCAAAAAAAAAAAAAAAGTAGTTCTAAGTCTCATTTCCGTGGCGTCATGGTGACCAAGTTAAAAACTACGGGTTCTCTAATCCTCGCGACACCAAACCGGTTCAACCTCATCTTTCTGACTGCTCTAATGTATATAATGGTCACTCAGAAAAATCCGGGTCTTCGGGGGAGTCCACCACCGAGAACGGGGAATTCCCCGTGGGGTGTCAGGGAAATAATAGCCCTAATTGGGGAGTTTTTCCAATGGCTTCAATATTTTACTTCAAGGGGAAGGTGGACTCCGCAATGCTTGACAATCTACATGTGATATACCATAGTGAAATACTCCTCAAACACTTATATTCCCCCTCCAAAATACAGTGGCTGTTCAAAATATTGTGGGGGCCTTCGGGTAATCGGTCGGATGAAGACCGAGTGGTCCCCTCGTAACATGGAGAATATCGTTGAAAAGAGAAGAATCTCAATCTGCTACATATCATCTACGTCTTAAACAATGGCTTCTATCACACTCCGCTCTGCCCTGCAAACCACCCCAGTGGCATACGGCTTCTGGTTGACGTATGTCTATCCTCCGCATTTCACAGCATCAGCTCCCCGCTGCTCTTTAATTCAACCTCGAAGCGGTCCATGTCATTAGGAAACTCCGGAATCAAGCAGAACTAACCGACCTCCTACTTCAGCCTTCCCAGTGCCCCAGTCGCAAAGACCATCCTCCGCCGCAGCCCCGAGTTCACAGAAGGTGGATTCAGCTGGGTCCTAGTTGACGCTGAACATGGATTGATAAACGACAGCCATTATTTTGAGGTCTGTCCTTTTCGGAGTGAATTGATTTGAAGGGTCACCTATGAACTAAATACTCTTAGCTCACAAATGCCGTCGGCCACGAGGGCGCTAGTCCGATTATCCGTGTGCCCTGGCCCGAAGAGTGGATGATCAAGCGTGCTCTTGATGCTGGTGCCCACGGTGTCATGACTCCTATGTGTCACTCCGCTGTATGCATAACCCCAATCGCTACCTGGAAATCGATCTAGTTCCTAACTTCGGCTCTTCTACTTACCACAGGAGGATGCAGCCAAGGTCGTCAGCTACTGCAAGTACCCGCCAATCGGAGTCCGTGGATACGGGCCCCTGTTTGCACCCCATGCATTCCCTGGTGTCAAGCCTGCCGATTACGATGAAAAGACGCACGGCGAAGTCCTCGTCGTTGTGCAGATTGAGTCGCGGCCTGGAGTTGAAAATGTAGAGGAGATTGCCAAGGTCGAGGGACTGGATGTTTTGTTCATTGGTGAGATTGGTCGATTTTGTTTTTTATTTTGTTTTATTTTGTGTTTCTTTTATTGCTTGTGGAACTGGCTAAAGCTTTCCTTTCTAGGGCCCTTTGATCTTGCGAAGCAGATGCGTGTCACCCGCGGTGGCGAGGAACATGAGGCTGCTATCCAACGTGTTCTGAACGCTGCTAGATCTGCGGGAAAGAAGGCTGCTATCTTCTGTATGTACTGTCTTTGTTGGTCCTCCCTGCACTGGTGCCTAACTCGATATCTTCTAGGTTCTGATGGCGAAGATGCTCTTCGCCGCACACAGCAGGGCTTCGATATGGTTTCCATCACTACTGATGTCACTGTCTTCGGTGACGGTATGCTCAACGAATTAGAGAAGGCTAAGGGCAGTTCGAAGGTACAAGGGAAACGGGATGGTTATTGAAAGATCCCGGAGCTAGGTTGATAATGTTTATATAGAAGCTATGGAGTAAATGCAAAGATGTTATCTTTGTTCTCTCCTCTGTTCAATCTCATTCAGAATTGCCACAAAATGTTGGCATGGTCAATTCTTGACCATTTGGACTCTATAGGCACCTGGTGTTACTGACTTGACAGTGCCGCTTTCCTCGACATCGAAAACGAAGAGCGAGATAGCAATACCGCCCCAAGTCAACTGGTCTAGCATAGTCCAGTCGTTGAGATCATCGAAAGAAGAGAAAAGACTTGACGAAGATCCCACTCCAGGACCCAGGCCCTGCGTTGCAGTGTATGCTCGGAAAGCGACTTCCCCACTGGCCTTCTCATTGGTGATAGACGGCACAAGTCGTGACCCGACCCCACCAAGTAGTGCAGAGACTAAATCCGTGATATCAGTGCCATTGCTAATCCATGAAGTGATGTTTAAGCCAGGCGCGGGATAGGTAGGTGGGACGACGGTGAGTGTCAAAGACGAATTCAGGTCTTCGGCTTTGTACGTGCCGGCGAACTTTTGCATCGCCTCTGCTGCAGCTTGCTCCATCAAGGCTGGAAGAATGGCATTGACAATAAGGTCGATTGCTAGCAGCGCCTCACTGTTACGGCTGGCTTGCGTGCTGGCCGAGAGGAGAGTAAAGCCGGCGTTGAAGTCTGGTATTAGGACCACGATGCCACCATAAAATCCCGAGTCTCCAAGTTTGGTGTATAAGTCGGTGACCACACCTGATTCTGCGTGGACGAATCGATGAATCTCCCATGGTGAGCCAACGGAGTAGCGTAGACTTGAGGTGTGAGTGACGGGTTTCATCCATTCCCGCGTTGTTTCAGATGGGAGGAGAGTGGAATTCAGGAGGACGACACCAAGCTTAGACAGATCGTTGGTTGTAGAGAATAACCCACCAGATGGGGTGGTAACGCCTCCATTGGGAACGAACTGCTCATCAAGAGCCTCCGATGTAACGGAATGGGGGCGCGTGGAGTTATCAGGTGGCGACGAGTAAGTGAACGTCAACCCCAGAGGTTCGAAGATGGAATCATTATACCAGTCAGTCATGGTCTTTCCTGTGAGATTTGAAATCGCAAGGCCAAGGAAAATATAACCGCCATTTGCGTACTCGGGACTTGTCCAGGGAAGGTAAACTGGAGGCCTTGGTGCATTCGCCACATCCCAGGAGACTGCATTACAGCCCTGGGTCTGTTCAACCAAGCATGATGGCCATAGCGCCAAGTCACTCTCATTCAAAGGTGGAAGGCCGTAGAAGCTTGGATCCGTCAACGCGGGATCGTCAGATCTCTCTAGGTACTTGTATAGAAGAAAGGTTTGTAGAAATTCTTCTGTAGCACCGTGTGATATGCCGCTCATCTGGCCCGCAAGGGATCTGAGGGTGACTTGGTCCCATTGGACATCAAACACAAGTTGGAATTTGTCGTGTTGCTTACGAACATGGTCGGCTAAAAATGGGAAGATGTCAGTGAGTGGAAGGTCCCAGTCTCGGGGCTTCAGTTCTACAAGTCCGGCAAGAACCGTGAAGAGTTTTGATACACTGGCGACCTTAGGGCTTTGTTTCGATGTTGGTTGGTATGGAAAAGGCGAAAGAACCAATATCAAGAGTGTCCATGTGGTCCTCCGATTCAGGTAGTCACGATCTGTTCACACCCAAATAATTTGTTCTTGGGTGGCTATTATCATCGTCAATCCTCTTCTTGTTGAAAGAGATGGAGGCTATGTTGATGCGCAAAAACCGGGTGGAAGAAGTAAAAGGTCGGATCTGCATAGCCTTCTCCAGGCAGTCACGAGGACATCTATTTCCGGCAAGGACTCCCACCAGTACACTTCGTCTTTCTTTTTGTCTGAAGAATCGTATGTCGCCAATCTTTACATTTCCATTTACCCTGTGAAAGATACCATGTGCATCTGCTGTCTCTTGTCTGTCACAATGCCATGCGTGCAAAATGGGTAACGGTCACATCAGGGTTAACTGGGGTTGGTTCTCTAAAGCACCCGTGTACTTCAGAATGTCAGATTCTAGTCTGGTGACAGCAATATCCAATTACTACATTGAACATACCTATGTGTTGTAGCTCCTCCAACTTATCTGCTTTGGACGGATTAGACGCCTGTGAACTAGGAACAATCTCCTTTCCTTCCTTCCTGACTATCTGGGAACTACACGTAACTGGCTGGCAGATCAGTTGAATCTTGCCAGATCATCAGTACGTAGCGCTCCTCAGCATACATTTTGGGATTTAGATTATGTTACCTTGACTTTGTTGATCGAACATGAGCTGTAGCTCTCGATCTCAATGGTTATCAGCAATCAATGCTCCATCAGATAGTCGGAATTTGACTTGCCTGAACTGGACAAGATATTTCTAGGTGCGAATGATAATTGAGATGAATCCCGTTGAGCGAGATCACCATGGTATGAGAAACAGTAGAGGTGTGCAAAGGAGAATCACTTCGACTGCGACGTTGTCAAAGAGCCGCAATACTTATTCTGGGCAGATAGAGACTTTCTCATCGCTTGACTCAAATAGACATTACTATCACTCACGACCAAAAAAAAGAGTCAACCGGCAAATAAATTTTCGAAATCGACCAGGAACCAGACTAGTCAAAGACCAGCTCTCAACGACAAGCAGATGAAGTGGACAGAAAATGAAGCTTTCTATGCGATCAACATTGCACCAAAGAGAGCGCAGACAATTGTGTACATGGCTATACCCCAGACACTAAATTCGGTGTTGACAGGTGACACAGGTCTGTTCGCAGCTCCCTTGCTAGGCGAAGCATCGCTCTTCCCCGTAGAGGTTTCCTTGGCGGTTCCTGTAGCGGTTCCCTCGGTGGTTCCCTCAGTGGTTCCCGCGGTTGTTGCCTCGACCTTCTTCCTGTTATATGGAACCGGCGTGATGACGCTGATATAGCTTGGGAAGATCGAGAACGTGTACGGATCCGGAGCAATAGTAAGGCTTCCGGCATCAGTGGTATCTGAGAGAGGTTCTGTTCCAGGAAAGCCCGAGGGAAGTTGGCCGGGATTGTACCACGTAGATGCGCCAGTGTCCAAGCTGAAAGCGGTAACACATTGGCTAGGATTAGAAAGAATAGAGCACTGGTCAGTGGACTCATTATACCCAAGCTGGAAGGTGTCCACCATTGTGTCAATATCAACAGCTGAGAGGTCATTATGGGGGCACCATTCGATAATCCTACCAAGAAATCACTAAATCAGTCGGCCTGTCTAGACGGAGGGTCCAATCTTTCTCACTCACTCGGACAAAAAGGATGAATCCCAGCAGCACTGGCAGCTAGCCGTCTCGGATGGAGAACCATCCGAGGCAAAATTCTGGCAAGGCGCATGTAGGGCATAGGTCTCGGTGAAGTTCCCCCAAATATAACCTAAATTGCACACTAAATTCAACCCCCTTGTTAGTATCTGCCTGGACAGTCTCTTCAGCTGCAGCTGGCGTGCTTCTTTCTTACCACATCCACCAGGCGCATTATCCGGTGCCGGATAGTAAGGAATTTGGGTGCCTTGGTTCTGATCTGCACCATTGAGGTATTGCAGGGCTGTTTCTTGGTATGCGCATGAATACACCTACAGTCAATCCATATTAGAGAAGATTTGTCAGGGAGAGAGGGAACTTCGAACCTCATTCCAGCAACTAGTCAACCAACAGCCAATGTTCGCAGCCAACTGAGCATCTCCACAGGCCAACACACATGTGTCGTACTCATTCCCCTGGCAATGATCCTTCGCATCATTCATACATGTCGTAAGTGTATTCACATTGTTTTCGTAACACTTGAGATAGCCACTTGGGTCGACACAGCCCTCACCTTTGGGGTTCAGGTTTGACGCATCAGCGGAGGCTAGGGACCAGAGCAAAGATTGTGCTAGGACGAAAGATCTTAAGACAGCCATGGTCTGATCTTGCTATGAAGCTTTTGCGCAGAAAACACCCGAAGATTCAAAATGCCTAACGGGCGAGAACCAATACATAAGCACGACACAGAGTCGGCGTGGCGGCTTACTGTACATGACTAGCACCTCTCCGGGGGCTGAACCTGAGGGTTTTATCCATGAATACGAGACAGTGATATGATAATGATTCTCGAAACGGTGAACTTAACCGATTCCAGCGCCAATCAGCGATCTCTTTGATCGATCTAACCCAATCGGGCGGATATTGATGGTCTAGCGTGAGACCGCCTGGAATGCCACTGCGGAGTACGGAGTACGGAGTGCTCCGTACTCGAAAGGGCTTTGAGGGTTCACTCCACTTTGGACACAAGTTGAGCCGATCCTTGCCGGCACCCGAGATCGCAAGGAGTGGCTCGGCTAATTTCTCAATGCTTGACTCCTCTCTCAATGCTTGGATCTTTGTCACGGCCATGGACATGTCCTAGCGTAAGTCAGTATAGCCGCCTGAACCAGACCCAGCGGTGAAACTGTGTTCAGAAGACAGTTCTGTCTGCCACGTACGGAGTAGGTGAGTCAATGCCATCCCTAACTGGCAAGTACTACCAAGAACCAAGTGGAGCACTTACTCCAGGACATGAACTCTGCTATTCTGTCCTAGTCTATCGGTGTATTAGCGGGAACACATTTCCCTCGGCTAGTTGGGGCAGGTGATACAGCTAAGTAACTACTAATTTGGAAACTTATCTTCTTTGTACCATTCCCTCTAGACTAGTAATCTTTGAGTCCTAGTTACAGATAATTCCTATGAGTATAGTGATGTGAAATCTGGTTCTGAGGATCTCACCGTATCTGCAAAACGGGAGCAGAACAGGAGCGAACGTCAAGCTGATGGAAACTATGGCGCTATTTCCCCAACCAAGGACACTTAGACTCGTGGGTGGTCCTGTGAGTGGTCACAAAGCACCAAATTGACGGCGCAACGCGGTGTTCGTCGCTAGGACAGACGCGGTTACCTCGGATCCAAATGTATCAACAAGGTTGACAGGTTGAACAGTGGGTGAAATTGGTTTCCAACAGCTTTGACTACGACAAGAAACATGCCAGAAAATTACCTTGCTAGGCCGCAAATAAATATAGTGGCTTTGGCTATGGTCTGATCATTAAACCGTGTTATCTTCAGGGTGGAACTGGCCACGGTTTGACGTCTTGGGTCTTCCATCTCTAGAATTAATAAGATGGTAATAGCATGAAAAAGGGAGGGACAAGAGGATAAAACCAAACAAAGGAATTTCGGAGAGTGGACGTTTTCCGTAAAGCGATCGATCAGTTGTTCTGTCTTACATGGGAGGTTAGATGGAGTTGCAGGGAGGTAGTTGGATAGACAACACATCAGCCACTTGAACGGCCTGGGTACTTAACAAACTCGTCATCCCTGAGTATGGCATAATGGGAGTATCTCTTCAACCTGTCACATCTGCCCTTAGATATAGGTGATACTGTCTTTCGCAGCTTGAATCCCAGTTTGCCAGCCTTTGTTGAGATTGTGCCAATGGTGTTGCCTGCTGCCTGTGATCCCCCTTTGTCCTTCTCATTCTACACTCAGCACCCTTTGATCCTTCCAATTTTCATCGGGACTTCACAAGAGGATAGATTGAACAATGGGATGATGAGGGACGGAGTTACTGTTTCGGCTAGGCTATTAAAACCGCGGCTTTCGCCTGTAGACAACACTTTCTACGCAATCTTCTAATCCCTTCACCAGAGAACACCACTACCCATGGAGCCAAAACCAACCATCAAGTTCAAGCTAAATGGGGTATCTCATTCCGGGGCTGACATTGATAACTTTGAACTCCAAGCTTGCTATCGCGCTCTTGACAACCTGCGGAGCTTGTTGTTTCAAGCACCAATGCTGGAGCTTCTGAGAGATCAAATCGAGGAAGGAAACCACTATTTTGAATCGCTGATTCACGCCTCTCAAGGGGAATACAGAGAATGCAGAATGTACATGAAAGTTGCCGGGGTTTTGGCGACAGAGCTGAGGACAATCTGCAGCCGCTGGCAGCTCTCCCAACCCATCGACGAGATGGCACGAATGTTTATATTCCCGACGCACCCTGAAAACTATGTGGTTATGCATTCATCAGGAGTCCCCGCCAGAAGTGGGCCAGACTGTGGGGTAGAGGTCATTGGGGAGCACATGGCCAAGGTTCGATTTGTCAGTCTCATGGACGGAGAGATCCCGAAATGGATGGCGGGGCAGCGAGAGGACGAGTATGAAATGGTAGAGTACTTAGTCGCGAAACTGGACAGTGGGAACATATTCTTCTATATCATGAACGAGTTCATGGATACAGAGGGCGGTTGCAAGATCAAACTGCGGGCCTTTTTCCCATCTGCTTCGCCATGGTCATTGGTCAGTCAGCATGCTGAACATCTTGCGGTCGAGTTTCGAAATCTTATTCAAATGGTCTATGGGGCCATCGAGGAACTTGAAGACAGCTATTGATCATTTTTGCGACCGAGATAGACATCATCATCGTCGGCCCTCGGGGCCAGAAATCATGGGGGTATTCCAGACCGTCAGTTTTGTTTCTCAATTGGGTTTCTAGAATTCAAGCATTATTGGATAGATTATCCATGGGTCCAAAGGTCATTGTCGAGTAGATACAGTAGGCCCTTGGGGCTTATCAAACTTGCAAGGAGAACTGGATGTTCAGTAATTCAAGTAGGTTCAGTGATTCGAGTAGTTCTCAAAAGCCGGAGGGGGACCAAAACCAATTCGAAGGCCTTCCACTACCGTTAGACCGTGTGATAAAAAAAAAGGCTTCCAGTGGTAGGTACAAGCCAAGCTGAAAGGTCTGCTTGCATGGCCACAATTCGGTCCGCGGGGAAGAGACCGAGGATTGGACGAATAGATCAGGGGGAGTCCACGGCCGGGGCCTGAGAGTCAACAATTTCCAACACCTGTGACCTGTAGTCCAAAGCGAATGCTAGGTCTGGGACGTCCTCGATTAAAAGCGCGGCCATCGTTGTTGGATCTGATAACCGCGAAGCATACGTTGACACAGCCATCACCGCCCGCCGAGCTGCCACCGCTTCCAGACTCGCCTTCCTCAACTACCTTCACCCACTCTGTGCCCCCCCATTCCACACAGGCTTTTTCCATTATGACTTCTGACGAATCTGAGAAACATGGCTCCGTCTTTTCGGTCTCCGGCCCTGTCGTCGTGGCCGAGAACATGATCGGTTGTGCCATGTACGAGTTGGTAGGCAGCCCCAGCTCCGAGATCGTGGAGAACCCCAGATGTTGACCGTATAGTGTCGTGTCGGTCATGACCTACTTGTCGGTGAGGTTATTCGTATCGACCAAGACAAGGCCACCATTCAGGTCTACGAGGAAACAGGTAGAGCTTCGCAACCCCTCAACCCCGCATGATTTCATCATGCACCCAAAGAGCTATGCTGACCATTATGACCTTTAAACAACAGACGGATTGACTGTCGGCGACCCTGTTACGAGGACAGGAAAGCCCCTGTCAGTCGAACTTGGCCCCGGTCTGATGGAGACAATCTACGACGGTATTCAGCGACCCCTCAAAGCCATCGCGGACCAATCGAAGGGTATCTACATTCCCCGTGGTATTTCGGTCAATGCCTTGGACCGTGAGCGCAAGTGGGATTACAAGCCTACTAGCTTCAAGGTCGGCGACCATATCACTGGTGGTGACGTTTGGGGTACCGTGTTCGAGAATAGTCTGGTCAACGACCACAAGATCCTGCTGCCTCCTCGTGCACGTGGTACCATTACTCGGATTGCTCCTGCTGGCAGCTACACTGTCGATGAGAAGCTGCTCGAGGTGGAATTCGATGGGAAGAAGTCTGAGTTTGGTATGATGCAGACTTGGCCCGTCCGTGTTCCCCGCCCGGTTAGCGACAGGCTGTCCGCCGACGCGCCCTTCATCGTCGGCCAGAGAGTGTTGGATGCTCTCTTCCCTAGCGTCCAGGGTGGTACTGTCTGCATTCCTGGCGCCTTCGGGTGTGGAAAGACTGTCATTTCTCAGAGTGTGTCCAAGTTCTCGAACAGTGATATCATCGTCTATGTTGGTTGCGGTGAGCGTGGTAACGAGATGGCTGAGGTGTTGATGGATTTCCCTGAAGTACTTACCCTCCCCAAACTTGGCGCGATAGTTTTTTTTTTAACTAACCGTCACTTCGTTCGCAGCTCTCTATTGACGTCGATGGCCGCAAGGAGCCTATCATGAAGCGTACCTGCCTGATCGCCAACACCTCCAACATGCCCGTAGCCGCCCGTGAGGCCTCAATTTACACCGGTATCACTATTGCCGAATACTTCCGTGATCAGGGCAAGGATGTGGCTATGATGGCAGACTCCAGTTCCCGTTGGGCTGAGGCTCTGCGTGAGATCTCAGGTCGTCTGGGTGAGATGCCTGCTGACCAAGGTTTCCCTGCGTACCTGGGAGCTAAGCTGGCCTCTTTCTACGAGCGTGCTGGAAAGAGCAGTGCTCTTGGCAGCCCCGAGCGTGTGGGCAGTGTCAGCATCGTTGGTGCTGTCAGCCCGCCCGGTGGTGATTTCTCTGATCCCGTCACCAGCAGTACCCTGGGTATTGTCCAGGTGTTCTGGGGTCTTGACAAGAAGCTCGCACAGCGCAAGCACTTCCCTTCGGTCAATACCTCCATCTCCTACAGCAAGTACACCTCAATTTTGGACAAGTACTACGAAAAGGATCACCCAGAATTCCCTCGTCTGCGCGACCAGATTCGTGAGCTTTTGGCCAAGTCCGAGGAACTGGACCAGGTCGTCCAACTGGTTGGTAAGGCCGCGCTGGGTGATTCGGATAAGATCACACTGGACGTGGCCAGCTTGCTCAAGGAAGACTTCCTCCAGCAGAACGGATACAGTGACTACGATCAATTCTGCCCCCTGTGGAAGACCGAGTACATGATGAAGGCCTTCGTAGGCTACCACAATGAGGCTCAAAAGGCTATTGCTCAGGGTCAGAACTGGAACAAGGTCCGTGAGGCTACTGCTGATATCCAGAGTGCTCTGCGCGGCATGAAGTTCGAGGTTCCGGAGGACGAGGCGGAGATCTCGGCCAAGTACGAGAAGATCCTCCAGTCCATGACTGAGCGATTCGCCTCCGTCTCGGACGAGTGAAAGTGGCATCTTGACTTAGCATGTATTTTCCTTTAGACGACTGTTCGAGCACATTCCCCTGTAGTTATTGTGTCCAACTCAACTTGCTTTTTTTCATTTTGGTGGCCTTTGTGTTGTATAATTTCCAGGTGTACAACACAACGTGTGGCCTGTACGCGTCAGGCAGCACAAGACTGGTGCACCTGACCGGGGGATGAGGAGCTAATAGCGTAATTGGACAAGTAGAACGATTGTATTTCTTTAGAAAATTCGACCTGGAACACTGTACAGTTGTGAACCATCGGTGCTTTGATTGCAGCCTAAGCAGAGAGCCTGCCGCTCCGGACGCCACTACATCACCGCCTTCGAGTCCACCAAACAATCCCTCCATTTGCATCGTGCACCTCCCCGGTTCTACTTTATTCAACTTCTCCGTTGCCTCGTTTTTCTTGTTTTCAATTTTTTTTCAATTTCTTGCTTAGAAAGCATTCTTCATATCCCAAATCGCCAGCCATGGCAAGCCCCACGTCCGGCTACTCGTGCGCAAACCCCCTGTCCCTTTCCGATGCGGTCTGGCTAATCTCCGTGCAGCATAAACGTCAATGACCCCGGCTTGATTTCGCTGGTCAACAAGCTTCAAGATGTCTTTTCCACAGTCGGTGTATGTATATCTACTCAGACGTTACTGCTCAATTGTGATTCCAAGGACACCATGTGTGCTGATACTGTCGCTCGCTTCTAGGTACAAAACCCGATCGATCTGCCTCAAATCGCCGTTGTCGGATCACAGTCTAGTGGAAAGAGTTCAGTGCTAGAGAATATCGTCGGCCGGGATTTGTATGTTGGTTATTTTGGGGGGCTTGCGCGGCCCTATCCACACACACCTTCGGTGGCGGGGCATGCGACACCTCGTCAACAATAATTGCTAACCAAGTTTTTGCCTTGTAGCTTACCTCGTGGCTCTGGAATCGTGACTCGGAGACCTCTTATCCTACAACTGATTAATAAATCTCCCACCACGAATGGTGAGGCCAAGTTGGAGACAACGGACAGCGAGTCCAACGTTAACGAGTATGGTGAATTCCTGCACCTCCCCGGGGAGAAGTTCTTCGACTTCAACAAGATTCGGGATGAGATCGTGCGTGAAACGGAAACCAAGGTTGGAAAGAATGCCGGAATCTCGCCCTCCCCGATCAACCTTCGCATCTACTCCCCCAATGTCTTGACCTTGACCCTCGTCGATCTGCCTGGTTTGACCAAGGTACCCGTCGGAGACCAACCGAAGGATATCGAGAAGCAGATCCGTGACATGGTTCTCAAGTATATCAGCAAGCCCAACGCAATCATCCTAGCAGTCACTTCGGCCAACCAGGATCTTGCCAACTCCGATGGTTTGAAGCTAGCACGTGAGGTGGACCCAGAGGGTCAGCGCACTATCGGTGTATTGAGTAAAGTTGATCTTATGGACGATGGAACCGATGTGGTGGATATTCTCGCTGGACGAATTATCCCCTTGCGCCTGGGTTATGTGCCAGTGGTCAACCGTGGTCAGCGTGACATTGAGAACAAGAAACTCATTGCTCAAGCCCTAGAGAACGAAAAGAACTTCTTCGAAAACCACAAGGCATACCGCAATAAGGCTTCCTACTGCGGTACGCCATATCTGGCACGGAAACTGAACTTGGTATCGGCTAGCCCCAAATTGTCTCAGAGACCTTGGAACTAACAGACCTCCTCTTTCCAGATCCTCATGATGCACATCAAGCAAACCCTACCCGATATCAAGGCCCGCATTTCCACCTCCCTCCAGAAATACACTGCTGAGCTAGCGCAACTAGGTGACTCTATGCTTGGCAACAGCGCCAATATTATCCTGAACATCATTACTGAATTCAGCAACGAGTACCGTACAGTCTTGGAGGGAAATAACCAGGAGTTGTCCAGCGTTGAGCTGTCAGGTGGTGCACGTATCTCCTTTGTCTTCCACGAACTCTACTCGAATGGTGTCAAGGCTGTCGATCCCTTTGACCTCGTGAAGGACATTGACATTCGGACCATCCTTTACAACTCGTCTGGTTCCTCACCCGCCCTTTTTGTCGGCACCACCGCCTTTGAATTGATCGTCAAGCAACAGATTAGGCGACTGGAAGAGCCCAGCTTGAAATGTATCTCACTCGTTTACGACGAGTTGGTGCGCATCCTGAGCCAGCTCTTGACTAAGCAGCTGTTCCGCCGCTATCCCATGCTGAAGGAGAAGTTCCACACGGTCGTCATTTCCTTCTTCAAGAAGTGCCTTGAGCCCACCAACAAGCTGGTTAAGGACTTGATCAACATGGAATCCACCTACGTCAACACTGGCCACCCCGATTTCCTGAACGGACACCGCGCCATGACCATCGTCAACGAGCGTCAGGCAGCCGCCAAGCCTACACAGGTCGACCCCAAGACCGGCAAGCCTCTCCTCCCAGCCCGTGCCCAGAGTCCCTCGCTCGACACCACCGGAGAGGCTACCAACAACAGTGGGTTCTTCGGCAGCTTCTGGGCTTCCAAGAACAAGAAGAAGATGGCCCTCATGGAGGCTCCCCCCACAACTCTCAAGGCTTCCGCTAGCTTGTCTGAGCGTGAAGCCACCGAGGTCGAGGTTATCAGTAAGTGAACCAGCCTCTGCAAACTCCTCGTAGTATTTCACTAACACTCAAGCAGAACTTCTGATTACCTCCTACTTCAACATTGTCAAGCGCACAATGATCGACATGGTCCCCAAGGCGGTTATGTACACCCTTGTCCAGTATGTCCCATCTATTCAACCCCCTGACCCCAATACTCAAACATGCTAACAAGTGATCCCCCTAGATTTACCAAGGATGAGATGCAACGCGAACTTCTGGAGAACATGTACCGCACCAACGAATTCGACGAACTTCTCAAGGAGAGTGATTACACCACCCGCCGACGAAAGGAATGCCAACAGATGGTCGAGAGTCTGGGTCGCGCCAGCGAGATCGTCAGCCAAGTCCAGTGATGACATTGTGGGCTTGATCACCAGACGATTCATCCAGAGGAATAAAGTATGCCGTTGACCGCTGCGTTGGTGAAGTTGGGCTCCTCACATCTCTTTGTGATTTTTGCAACACGCTCCGAACATCTTGACTATACTTCCTACTTGCTTTGCTATTCGTACCATCCCTTGGTTAGCGACTTGTTCTGTTGGTCCTTATTTAGATGTTGATCTGGGGTTTGGGGTTCAAATTTCGGATGTGCGTCCTTGGCGATCGTCCTCCTTGATTGCGATGAGAGAGGGGGGGGGCTCTTCACTTCGTCCTGCTGCGTGTTTTCTCATGTTTTTCCCAATTTGAGAGCTCTATACCGTTTTCCTTTCTTATGGCTGGGTCTGTTGTCTGTGTTCGCGGACTTCTTGCCTTGGACGCCCGGATGATTGTATCAATTAATGATTCTGTCTCTGCTTTATGACTTAGCTTAGAATTCACATTTGACTTTTCAATTTTTTTCTCCCGTTCATTTGCGTTGCAGATCAAACGCTGGCTACAAAAAATGTAGGCACGAGATGGCAACGTTACCATTTGAGATGTCAGCTAGTGCCAATGCGGCCTCTCCATGACGATGTTGAAGATTTGAACATCCGAAAAAGGAATCCCAGTGAGCCGATTTCTAGACAATACTACTTGTCTACATGATATGCGAGGTGAAAAAGTGAGGATGAAGATGATGTTCTTCATTTTGTACTTCTACAGATTTGGGGTGCAGAAGTGCTCTCAAATATACAATAAACCCGGAAAGAACTTCCAGTATAAACAAAACAAATCGAACCAACCTCCCAAGCACATCACGACGGCCAAATAGATGTTAAACTCCATGGAAGCAAACTTCGAGCTGAGATTCGAAGGTTCAGCTGAGCCGGCGCAAGGTGCAAGTGTTGGATGATGCAGACAAATTATCCGAGTCCTAAGGATGTCAAAACAAAGCCCATACATGTCTTCTCTAGTTCATTTTTTCCATATCCTCTATATCCATCCTCCTAGTCCAGATGTTGGGTTATGGGATTTAACAATTGCCAAGTTAGTCCATGCTGGATGAGTTTCTCTTCCAAGGTGACGCGCTTGCATTCGATGGTTACATGACCTTCTGCCAATGGTATCTTCAAAGGTGTGGATGATTCTTGGGCTTGTTGCTATCATACCTTGCAAGTGATTTCTTAAATTCTTCTTGATAGCTTTTGTTTTCTGGCTTTTGTGGAATGTGGCTGTCCTGTTGCAACCTGTTTATAGAACAATGTTGCCAGCCTGCAGTGGTGACGAGTGGTGTGGTCAAGGCGTATGTCTGTTTGCTCTTCTTTTGTTGTTGTTGTTTTAATTTTAATCCTCTTTGTCTTTTTTTGGGAGTTCGTCTGGGTATCGATGTGTTGTTGTTGTGGATGTGGATGTGGGGTGGTTGATGTGGTTGATCGTTTTTTCTTTTTTTTTTTTCTTTTTTTTCTTTTTTTTTCTTTTTCTTTTTTGAACTGAGTGTATGGATCTTCTTAGATGAGTTCTCTTGGAAGGCAAGAGGGGTTTGTTGCGCAGAGACATTTTGTCACGGGTAGCGAGATCAATGGATGGCCTCGAGCTGGAGATAGTGCGGTGGCAGCCATGAAGAACTTACCAGCGGAGACATGGAGCCAGCCGTAATTAGCTATGGTGGATATGACAGCAAATGATGCAAAGCCGTGAAAGGTGGTATGGATGACTGTGACGGGAAGACTTCTTTTAGCAACATATGATGAAGTGGGGTAGAAAGACATACGGTTATCATAGGTCACATCCATCGGAAGAAGAACCTCATGATGTCGATGTGGCAATTCAGGAGTGAAGAAAGATGTGCATTGGATATAGAATATGGCGCTCATGCACGGAAAATTAAGGTTGTGGCAGGCACACGCAAGAGGATGCGCGGTAGGCAGGCTGAAAACGATGAGAAATGGGATTTCTGTAATAGAAGACACCGAGGTGAACCTGTATCAGCCAATGGACCGGGTTGGTAAGATTTTCCACTCGTCATCGCAGAGCAAAAGGAACAGAGAGGTGGGGAGGGTTCTGATGCTGGAGTTCTTACCTGCATAGCTGCAAATATAACTGCAATCTGGGGTTGCTTTTTTTAGCTAATAGCTGGAGGCAGCATCATGTAAATGAAAGAGTGTTGAGGCAAGGAGGCCTTGTCAAGCAGCAGGGTGGTGTTTTGATTCAACATCTGCCGCAGTTAGTACTGAGAAATATCAACAAAAGGAATTTGTGAGCCGTGGTGGTCAGGGTAGAGGGGATGAGATAGAAAACGAGGAGAAAAGAGGGACAAAGTAAACATTCACAGAACGCGGGATAAGCAGTCTCATCCAATATTCTTGAGCGTTGAACAAGCTCTGAGCAGAAAGGCTCTCCAAAATCTGGAAGACAGGAGTGAACTTCTCACATTTCTAATTCAATCAGCTCTGTACCATGGACAGCTGTGGTTATGGAGATGATGTGGTGGTGGATGATGGAACAAGTGATTAAAGGTCAAAGGGGTGACAGCATATGTTGGAGGGAGGTGGGTTGTGGGGTGCAATGGCAACGAAGGAGGATACTCACCATGTGCGACAGAGATGCAAAACGAAAAGACATGATGGTGTTGGATCTGTGAGACAATTCCAAATTAGTGACTGAAGGGTGGGGACAGGTAGTAGGCAGACTTACCACAGTAGACATGATGAGTGTTAAGTTGACAGACGTGACATCGTGTCGCTGGCAGTCAGATCTGGTGGCAGACTTCATATCCAATGAACCTTGATGCAAGATATGATGCAAGATATGATGCAAGATATGATGCAAGATATGATGGAAGGTGCGATGTAATGGATGAGGTATTGATGAAAGACCCAAGGTGATAGTGGAATGAACTTGGAGTGGCGGAGCCCCAGATGGATGAGGGGGGGGTTGAAGAAAGGCAAGGATGGAAAGTCAAAAGAAGGAAGAAAACAAA